TAAAAAAAAAAAAAAAAAAAAAAAAAAAATAAGATAATATAATTCTTAAAGTTTAAGTTCTTTCTATCTACTAGCTATTTATAGCTCTTTTATAGAGAGCTCTGTACAGCCCCTGTTTATAGTATAATAACTTACTTCTTATAAACTTTATAATATAATATTAGATCTAATAGTTATAACTACTAGATCTATATAATTAAAAGTAGCTTTATAATTATAAGAAATCTAGTAATAGAGTATAAGCTTAATTATTTTATATTATTAGTAAGGATATAAGAGTTCTTATTAGTTATTATTATTATATAGTTAAGAATCTAGTTATATATAATAATCAAGCTCTAGCTATAGGGAATAATAATATTAGAGATATTTATTATTATTATAAAAAGAGATCTAATTACTAGTAATTAGTAATAATAAGTTTAGAGAGATATTATAATTAATTATAGATAATAAGTATTCTCCCTTAGGATCTATAGCTAAATTATATATTTAATAAGCTTTTTTTAGAGTTTTTAGAGAAACTATTATCTTATCTTAGCTTATATAAATAAGAAAGTAAAAAAAAATAGAATTAAAGATTAAATATAGATTAAAACTTAGTTAAAAATAAATTATATAGATCTAGTTATATATAATCTAATCTTAGAATATTTTTTATATATAGTAAAAACCTTAAAAAAGAATAACTAATATAGTTAATTTCTTACTCTGGATATAGCTAGGCTAAAGAGTATCTAATATAATAATAAAATTATATAGAATATATATCTAATTAGTTAACTAATATATTACTGAACAAGAGCTTCTTAATTTAGTAAGAGTATATGAAATCTCCTTAGTTAGTTAGCATGGTTTACTATCCCTACTTAAGCCTATCTAGCTGCCTATTCTAAAAATAAATAATAAATTTTACTTATAAATTATTCTTTATTTTTAAAATTATAATCTTTAACTTGTTATTCTGCGTCCAGCTTGGCTCGTATAATAACCTAGAAAATCTTATTTAATTGATTAAATACGGGAGTCCCTAACTAAATACTGAATATATGTACAATTGATTGTGGTTGTTGGTCTTGACTGTCTTGGTTGTAAAATTCCTCCTCTTTGACTGATGTTGATATCCCGATCGCGGACCTACCCGGTCTTTGGTTGTGGTGTTATTGGTTGGAAAATCCCACTGGCACTCATTAGTATATAGCTAACCAGGCTGTCTAGCTTATCAGCTCTCAGCTATATTATTAGTCGTATTTATCAGTATTGAGGCGGATAGGATCAGACTCAACTGCTTGAGGTAGCCCATAGCTGTAGCAATTGATTATATTCACCTGGATCGTAGCGGATAGAAGGGAATTGGATCCTGCTACTCGGCAGTGGTTTCTCTAGCATCAAATTAATATCGGCTGATGTAAGCATGTGAAATTAACATTGGCAGGGATTGGCTCAAAGGGTGGCCAAAGGAGTGCACCGAGATTGGATTAGTAATTGCTCAATTCTAATACTCTTGGCAGCATTATCTGACTCCCAAATACCACAACACCTCCATAAAAGCCAGAACAAATGTCCAATACAGAAAAGCCACAGACAAGCAGAGCAGGCAGGTCATGCGGGAACTGCAGAGGTAGGCTATGCATCGCTATGAAACTGGTGGTTCTGAAACAATCTCGACTAAACCATTCTCTTGATCACGATAGGCCGCCGAATTCGATGCGATCGCCAGGTCCCTGCCTGCGCCAATTGTGCAACAGCAAAACTGCAATGTCAAGGTTACGGTCTTCGTCTATCCTGGCCCAGAGTTGGAGACCGGAAGAGGGCCTTGCTGGCCCCTGATCTCGGGTCAAGGGACAACAGTAATTCGCCACCGGGTGATGTTTCTAATTCAAGGTTTTTCATCAATATGCAACACAGGCATGTCGCTGCTCACTACAACGCCATGTCCTCAAGTAGTGCTCGTAAGTTGGCACCGCGATGTATTCTCACGTCAAATTCTATTTAATATTATCTAATTCACACGTTCAACACTTTTGTACAGGTGTTATAACACAAACAGTATCCCAGAACCAGCTACCGAAATCCATCCCTTTGTCACTAGTAGACGAGAAAGACACAAGTTTGCTCCATTATTGTATGTTACTCCAGGTCTGTGAATTTAAACGTCATGCTAAACTGTTAGACTTGCAAAATGCGGCAAGTTTCTTCCTGAATCCCTTGGGATCTCTGGCACAGTTGCTCCTACAAGTTGGGCTTGCCGACTCCTCTCCATCTTCTGCCGCTGTCTTGAACGGTCTCCTGGCAATTTCGGCCTTGCATGTCTCGGGCGAGGAAAGGGCCATGAAGTTCAAAACCAAGGCAATTGTTATGACCCAGGCATCATTGAATGCTGAAGAATCGGGTTCGACTGTGATAGCCAAACTGGCTGCCAGTATGCTTCTATATCTATACGAAGTTAGTCGAAATCACTTGCCTAGAGATGCAGTACTGACCTATTGCTGATCTCAAGGCTTATAGACACTTCATATGTCATCCCCTAAGGCTTGGTCAACCTATCTAGGCGGCGTTAAGCAAATTCTTTTGTTATCTAAAGGATGTAGTCCCTTTTCGAAAAGTTACCAAACCATTTTGAACTGGATTATCTATCACGAGACGATGGCCAAGTTTGGGCAACTATACTGGCCAAAAGACGGTGGGCTCACACCATTTTGCCACAAGAGGGTTTCTAGTCTTTTCCGGAAGCACCCTGACTATGAGAAAGATGCTGTGAGTAGGTTCAAGTTCTACCAAGTTCGTTTGCTAATCGCGCTTTTTTGTAGGAAATGGATGCGACAGGTTGTGAGCAACACATTTTGGAGGTTATCTCGAAAATTTTTGACCTAACCCATGGAAACGGGGGATTTGTTGCGCCACAGCCAGCAGAACTTCTAGGGCTGGAATGGGAGCTCCGTATAAAGCTAACAAAATCACCAGAGCCAGGTTCGGTCTCGGGAACCTCGTCGTGGATGCATGCTATTACAATGTTGCATTGTCTTGCTGCACAGTTATGGGTTAATCGTTCTGTGAATGGCTACCTCGGGACTGAGGGGTCTCATCAATGGTTAGTAGCACAGGCTGTGAATATTCTTGACCAGTTGACGATATGCGATATACTCTGGCCATTGTTTATTATTGCTGGCGAAATGCGAACAGAAGAACAACGGCGCAGTATGCTTAATATTATTGTTCGAACTCAGGAACGATCCAAATCACAGCACATGGATATGGTCGAAGAGTTGGTAGAGGCAATATGGAACTACAATGATCTTGATCCTTCTGGGCTGTTACATTACAACGACAAGTTACGCTGTGTTATTCAAGCGTACCCATGGATATTGCCGTTTACATAGGGCCTAAAAACGAGAAATCTTTGGGTTTGGCATTCTTTACTATTGCATATATTGCGAAAATAAAAGTTTCCTGATCGTATAACGAAACGTATGCTTCAATACGCGACCTCGAGCTGGAACTCGTAGAAGTCTTAGGTTATATAGCGTTACTCCCTGGTTCATTGCATTCCCCTCTTAGTTTAGCATGCGTACGCGAATACTTGCTTCCTTCCAGCAACCCACCTATCATATCGTAGCCTGGGCCTACAAAGTCCCACATCCCCTTTCCGTTTCTTTATTATATAAGCTGACAATATCGTTTCAAAGCTAGTCCCGCGAATTCTTGCCAAAAAACCGGTTTGAGCCAATTAAAGTTGGACTTACTGGAAGATTCACATCATCAATGAAATTACTAATACCAAGTGTGGCCGAGTCGCCCCAAACGAGGCAAGTTTGAATCACACAATGGAAATTTGCACCGTTTGATCAGAGCCTGATCAAAGCTTGTTGAAGCCCTAAGAGCATAGTAACGTAGATGATGCATCCATCCGTATTGGTAATATGGTTGTAGTCAATGATTATATATTTCCCGCTGAGTCTCTTGTTTGCCCCAGTGTTCTACTCGCTCATAAGTTATAACCAAGCTCATGAACCAGCTCACCATTATTCTTCAAGATTAAACATCTTTTTTTACTCACTCAGCTAATACCTCATCATGGCAAACACCCTGGGCCCTAATATCGCTGCTATCCTCCCCGAGAAGCAAGGACGCCTCGCCATCTCAGAGCGCCTCATCCCCACGCCTGGTCCAGGAGAACTATTGGTGCGCAATGAAGCCGCCGCTGCAAATCCCTCGGATTGGAAAGTACAGAGCCTCGGCGTCATTGTCGACAAATTCCCTGCCGTGCTCGGCAGTGATGTTGCCGGCATCGTCGTGTCTGTTGGATCAGGTGTAACCCGCTTTAAAGCCGGCGACCATGTCATGGCATTCGCTTTAGGAATGGTGCTCGGGAACATTGACGGGGCGGCATTTCAAACTTTTACGATCCTCAATGAGGCGGCGACGTCGCATCTGCCCAAGAGCCTGACATTCCAGCAGGGTGCCACGCTTCCAGTTGCAATGACTACCGCTGCGATAGCTCTTTTTGCAGATCTCGAGCTGCCGATGCGTGAGAAGCGTGACAATGAGCAAGGTGCTATCCTAGTTTGGAGCGGCGCTTCGGCAGTTGGCGTTGGGGCGATCCAGATTGCACATGCGCTTGGGTGGACAGTCTACACGACAGCAAGTCCAGAGCATCACGCGTGGTTGAAGAAACTTGGTGCTACGGACGCATGGGACTATCGTGACCCAAAGGCCGCACAACACATAGGGCAAGCTGCCAAAGATGCAGGATTGAAGATTCGCGGCGCAATCGATACCCGGTCCCAAGACTCGTCTTTCGACTTGGTCGCCGCCGCGTTAGTCGCGGCCAACTCTACGTCTGGCGCCAAAGTTGCCACGGTATTGCCATGGCCAGCAGATAAACAAAAGCCGGAGGGAACAGAAACTTTCTCGATAAACTGTTTTAGGTTCGTCAAAGATCGACAGGATATTGGAAGTTGGCTTTTCGGCTCCTGGTTATATAAAGCACTTGAGGATGGGAGCATCGAGCCTGCACCGAAGGTTCGTCTCATTGAGGGAGGGTTGAAGGGGGCACAAAGCATGCTTGATACCCTTAAGGCTGGTGTAAGCGGCGAGAAACTTGTGATTAACATCCAGACTTAACAGCTTTCTGATAGTAGCGAGTTATACATAGGATATTCCGAAAATATCAAAACAGTAGATATAAATCAGAACTCAAGCTAAGCAAGGCATAGCATGCTCAACCAGGTTTTGGCCGGCATATCTTTGGCTTTACACAAAGTCCCAGGAAAGTGCACCAAGAAATGAAATGCATTCCGGCCCGTCGAAATCGGGACATGATCCCGGAATAAATGTCAGAGGCCTTGAACGATGGCCTGGGTAGGTCAAGCATCAGTGTAAGCATCTGTGACCGAGGATTCGCATTGGGATCCACCCAATCCAAAATTAAACTAGGAGTTGATCATGGGGCATGGGATGCTGCACTGGAGGTATAAAGAGTAACTTGTTTCTCTTGATTTTGATTTGGCTTTTTAAACAGGTAAAGAGACCTCTATTTGAAAAGGACTTGCCTTCAAATTTGGCCAAAATGCAGACTCGTCCTTGGACGAGTGGTCTACTATCGGCTGTGGTCTTCACGATTTTGTTTGATCTAGCCGGCGCTACTGGTGCTTCAACTGTAACAACAATCCCTGCAGAAGCAACAGTTGGTCCGGCCATGGCTGAATATGTATCTGGTGATCCTGCTGTGGATGCTCCCAAGCTCTCTGCCTACAACAGCGCCGTCTTCGATTGGTGGTATTTTGATGCCATATCTGCCGACCTGACTCAAGGTCTTTTCTTAACGTTTAACCTCGCACTGGCTACCGGTGTATCCGGCGGAAACAATGAATCTATACCCTTTGCCTCCATCTATGGTATCTGGCCTAACTAGACCCTCTACTTATACTCGGTACCTGGGGCGAGCGCTGTCCTCGAATCATCCCTTGACCAAGCTACTCGTGGAACGTGGGAAGGTACAGGTTTTAGCTGGGTAGCTTCACCGGACATGGAAAGCTATACCATTACAATCAACTCAACCTACGTCAGCGGTACACACTCCTTCGAATCCAAGGCTCCTGCACATTATCCCTGTGGCCCGGTCGAACCAGGCAGCGACTTAGTTGTTGCTCCATCTGTTGGTTGGATAAATACGCTTCCGGATGCGGATGCTTCAGTCTCGCTGTCTGTTGGTGGTACAGCTGTTGACTGGTCCGGTATTGGTTATCATGACAAGGTGAGCTTTTGCCTAAATCAAAGTACTATATACAAACCCTTATGCTAACTGTAACTCTAATAGAACTGGGGAACGGAGTTCTTTGGGAGCACATTCAACAGTTGGTACTGGGGCCACGTGCGCGTCGGGCCTTATAGTCTCGTGTGGTTCAGTGTGCCCGCTCCTGGCGACCGGCAATACCTCAGCAGCTATGTTGCAAAAGACAGGGAGGTTTTAAGTGCCAGTTGCGGCCCTAGCTCTGTAATCGTGCGGCCAGTGGGCACTCCCTACCCACGCGGGTCCGACCCCAACTGGCCACTTGGCTACCAAATTAGCATCGGGATTGGCGAGGGGGAAACGCTGAATGTCACATTTGAGCAAACCGGAGTGATAATCAGTTCATAAGGTTCCTGGCGCCTGATTGGGCGCGGAACAGGGTCGGCCAATGGGGGTTTACAGCTCGAAGGTTATGGACAATGGGAGGAGCTGTGGCAAGCCTCTGAATGATATGTGACCAGGTTCTGGGGTTAGTTACGAACGAACTGGGCGTTTCAATCAATATCGTGGCTCTTTCAGTAAGACCATCTGACAGCGATAGGCACGTAACGTAACGTTATTCTGATTCAAATGTATGTAGTCAAATGGAGGACTTGCTGCTCTTTCATCCCATTGCCGCGGTACATTTTAACCCTAAATACGTAAAGAAGCTGCTTTCAACAAGAATTGATCTAGAATGGCCAACTTATAGAGTACCCTCAAAGCTTGAGATGGATTAAAAAGTAGTCAAGTTCCTCCCGTCTTGATTTAGTCTTTTAAGATCCACGTCGTACTTGTGTTTTGTAGGCCTAGGGCTAGTTCCTATAGAAAGAATCAACCGATTTACCAGTAAATAGAGATATAATAACCAAAAGAAGAATCTATGTACATGCTTAAGATAAGAGCTGCTGACGACACGACTCTTCAACATAGGTAGCATTGCTATGAACAATTGTGACTTATATCGTAGTCGGATAAGTGATTTTTGCAGGCATGTAGTTTTTCATATATGACTCATCCGTTTCGAAACAAGGTAGCTTTTTGAAGAAGGGGGCAACTGTAACTGTTGGAATCCAATCCTTGTTCTGAAGAGGGAGGGGAAGATGTGGAGAAATCAGCCAGGAAACTCGGATTCGCATCTCGGGTTTCGGTTCGGTAGGTGTAACTGATTCTGCCTTCAGTCTCCGGAATTCCCGACACCTCTGGTGTTGCAGAAAGAAATAAGTATAAAAACACTCTCGGTCTTCTGCGGGTTGCCAACAGTATCCATTGGCCACTATCACTTACAGTGATCATTTGTTTGGCTAAGGGCTTAGATAGGCTAAGAAACTATTCACAATTGTTGGTAGTAGTAATGAGTCTTTGTTATATTTCTGGTACACTGGTTTCTACTGGATAATAACATCATCTGATCATTTTCGTAGAGGGCAATGTGAAAATTCAATAGGAGACTGCTGATAACATGCCCGTTTGGTTGTGACAATTGAAATAAGCAAGGGGCTGGTCAGCTTTGCGCAACACCATCAACTCGTGCCACAGGTTGAGATGGGGTTCAACGGCCTCATTGTCCATGCGGTTGAAATGATTGATCTGCGTCCCGAAAATCTGCTTATGCTTTGGCGTAACAGCCCATTTCTCGAGGTACCCTAGAGATTCCCACGAGCTGATACTCCAGGATTTGCCAACCGGGTTACCCTCGTCGTCTTCGATGCGCAAATAACGGTTTGAGAAGCACCCAAAGCGGCGTTTATCAGCCACAAGTTCTTCCATGCCGCTGTCAAGCGTTGGCTTGATTTCTGTGTAGTAAGAGGTAACTTCCTTCTCATCACTGTGCTCCCAGACTTGTCCAGAGCGGATCAGACACATATTCTGATGAGGACGGACTATTACTAGTCGCCCACGAGAATCGGAAAGGGGTTGACAATCTTCGAGCTCTGGCCAACCACAAGATTCGAGACTCTCTGTTTGTGCTCGAGGAAGGCGGTCTCTAGATGAACCCCAGTATTCATGAGTATCCGTTTCATCACTCATCGCTGCCGCAATGACTGAATAGCATTCAGGGACGGGAAGAGCAAAGGTAGTCTCTGTATCTGTGATTGGGGTATCGTAAAGCTCTTTGAACACGCCAACGCCGGAATCAAGCGAGAGTCCTCGGTGCCACCAATCGGCAGGCATGTTATCTTCCCATCTCTGGTAGAGAGATAAGTCACTCCAATACAAGGTAAAGACAACATTTTTATAGCCATTTGTGTCGGTGAAGCTGGATCGTACATGGTGTTGAGGCCCAAATGGGCTTGTGATTGCGCCACGGATCAGGCTGATGGCAAATGTCGAGTCGGTAGATGGCATGAATTGAATACCCAGGTCCATATAAATAATACTTTTGACAGCTTCCGGAAGCCTTGCTGAATGTGAAGCTTGTTGGGGACCCCTGAAGCATGCTGGTTGATGAAGTGGCTGGGTGCGCTCGACCTGCAAGTACCCCGGGATCGCAGGTTCTAGGCAGCGTTGCTTCATTGTTCAAAATGATCCTTAAAATACGAAAGGAATTCCATGATAAAAAAAGGCCGGTTGGTCTATTAAGTGAGATGAACAGAGGGTTTGCTTTCGCCCAAACTCGGTGTGGCTATGTTTACAGTCAGCTGTCAAGACTCATAATTGCCATTGACTTCTCGGACTTATATTCCACCCCAAGCTTGCTAGTCTCAAATGGGAGTTAGTAATAGTACTGCCAGCACGTGAGGAATGATCATCAGGAGTAGAACGACAAGAGATGTGGGTGTCCCTTCAACCCCTCCAAACCCCGCGGCCCCATTACCTTGTTATCGGTACTGAGAGATTTGATTCTGCACGTTAAAAAGAGGGGCTTGATATTGCTTAAACAAGGGATTTTTACGTAAAGGGTGAGCAAAAACTGTGGTAGAATAATCGTCTTCGGAGTCTGTTGCGCCTCTTCATTTTAGCGCCGGCCGCCGCGGACGCTGTTGACGCCGTTGACGCCGTGTGGGACTACCTTACAAGGACAAGTAGAGTATGAGGCTATTGTTCTAGTCCGTACCTACGACTTCCACACCCCACTTCAGCTAGAGTGGTTCGCGAGACCCTGCATAAAGGAGACCTCAGTCCTTGGGCACAAGAGCGAGGATCGGTTTCGTGCAACGCAACTTGAAGTATTGCAGTACTCTTGAACCCTTCTTCACATATTCAACATTACATGCGCCTGTCCTGCAGGACCCCTTCCTCCTAAACTAGCCATCATGGCTACCACCAAAGCGCCTCAAGCTAGATCCCTCGAAACAAAGACCACTCGTATCTATATTGTTCAGCGAGCCCCTCGCTTGCTCGATCTAGAATTGGGTATCCAAACTGCAGTTGAAGAGATTGCTGCAGCATCAAATGCTGGAGCCAACCTCATTACGATTCCCGAGACATGGCTAGGAGAGTATCCCGCCTGGGTATTTGGTATGGCGGGTTGGAATGATGCCAACGCACGCGAATGGTACAGAAAACTCGTCGAGTCCAGTCCGACAACATCCGGCCCTCACATTTCGCGGATCAGAGACGCTGCAAAGGAGCACAATATCGAGGTCGTCCTCGGATTCAACGAACGATCGAGAGCAAATAGCGGGACCATTTACAATAGCGTGGCGCTGATAGGAAGCGACGGTGCTCTGCTCGGTATCCATCGGAAACTTACGCCCACCCACACGGAGCGCATCGTCTGGGCAAGTGGCGACGCTCGTGGCTTGCGAGCCCATGACACCCCGTCGGGAAGAATTGGGGCGGCAATTTGCTGGGAGCATTTCCATCCGTTGATCAGGCAAGCGCTTCACGAGGAAGACGAGCAGATTCACATCGCTCTGTGGCCCGATATGCCTTCGGCGCACCAGCTTGCTTCTCGGCAATATGCTTTTGAAGGAAGATGTTTTGTGGTGGCAGCGGCTACGTACTTGGACGCAGAGGCTGTTCCAAAAGAGCTCCTCGAAGCATTTGAAAAGGGCGTCGGAGCAAAGGACTTGTTTCCTGGCGGATCAGGTGTGATCGGTCCGGACGGCGAATACCTTGTAGGACCTGTGTCGGGTCCAGAGCCTGTGGTAGTCGATGTCGATCTTTCACAAACAATTGCTTATAAGCATGATCTTGATGTAGCAGGACACTACAAAAGGCCCGGCATCTTTCGACTTTCGGTGAATAGAGAGGAGGCTCGCCTATAGTGCTTAACTAGATGATATCAAACTTGGGCAGTTACTTCCATCGAAAGACCGTAGTAGTTTCGATAGAAACTCACTGTGAGAATGGTCGTGTTGAATTCCGGACTGTAAATGGAATGATTTTCTTTTGGCTGTAGATATATCAATACCAACGTACACTTATCAAGTCTAACATGGGGGGGGGGGCTACGAGGACAGGTGTATGTGTGTACGTTCGTGTGTTTGAGAGAGATAGTAGGCTTGTATTTAACTGGCCTAGCTATCTATCTCCCTTCCTTCCTTCCTTCCTCCTCCCCTCCCCAATTATATATAACCTCAGCAGCTATCTTTATATAAAGCAGGCTAGAGGTAACAGCAGTTATAATCACTACTTTACAACAAAACATACTTTGCCTTAAGGAAAGCTAGCTAATAGCTATACTTTTTATTAGTAATAATACTCTTATTAAACTGCTTCTCTTTAAAGCAGTTAGTTTAACTAAGAATATAACTTCCTAAGTTAAATAGGTTAACTACCTGTTTTATACCTATAGTCTTAAGAGATCTAACTATCTTTATAGTACCTATAAGCTTATAATTACTTATACTAACCTTAGGAAGAACTTTAATATTAAGATCTTATAGTTAGATACTCTTTATAATAGGTACTATAGCTACTAGCTTCTATTTCTTCTTCTCTATTCTATAGGTTATATATTTTAACTAAGTATATAAGTACCTTTTATCTTTATAATAGGAAGCTAACTTTACTGATAACTGATATTAAGGTTCAGAGATAGATCGGGCGAGATATAGGCTCGGTAGGATATTTGATTTTTGGCGAGGACTTAAGTATATACAGCGATGTGCGAAGTTCTGATAAGAAGTTGATTGATCCGACTGAGTAGTAATAACTGGGAGTTAACTAATCTGACTGAAGCGATAAAGGTGGCGATATATAATACTCGACTTCTCAGCGATAGAGCAACGAAGGCAGCGATTTGCAAGTATTACTAGTGCTTATATCTAGACTTTTATAAGTACAGATAGACTTAAGCTGTATAGTTTATTCAGGACCAGGCCAGAGATAGCAGTCTTTAAATAGATAAAAAGTAATATCTTAAGGTTTATAAAAGGAGTTATACTAATAAAAGAGTTATTACCAGATATAGCCTTTAAATTTAAACCTTATATATAGCTCAGCAGAGCTATTATTAGTACTAAACCTTATATACAGCCGGGTAAAAAGGCTGAAGTTTAATATATTATAATACTGGGTATAGTATTAAGTTATTAAATTCTTAGTATTTAGGAATTTCCCCTTTTTTTTTCAGCAGCTGTATAGCTCTCTTACTTACTATCAAGTCTAACATTTTCAAAACAATGCTAGTTGCCATCCCCGAGACTTGGCCACAGTCCGCCAATCTATTCTTTGCCGGTGTACACGATGTTCTTCCCCCCTTCTCATTTTCCAGATCTCATCAAGTAATTCGACACAAGAATCAGTTGTCACATGGTAAGAATTAAGTTAACCAGCATTGTTGTTTGTGCCGCTATGATGGGCACGGATTCTGGGCGACCTAAGAACTCCCCTGTTTACGTTTGGATTGACTGGGAAGCGAACATTGGCTACCCGGACGGATTCGTCTTCGTTGCCGGCATACTCAATGGCGCATCCGCGATAGGAACTCCCGGTGCAACTGTCCACCTCGTTAAAGAGATCCCTTTTCTCGGGATAAATGCCCCCAAAGTCCTTGCTGCTCAATGCATACTTGGCTTTCTCTCGGCTTTCGCATACTTGATTGTTGCTTTTGATTCCATTAGAGACTACAGTGCCATTCCTACCGCTTCTTTTCCCATTGCCGAGATCTACTCTCAAATAACACGGGGATCCGGGATTGGAACCACAGCACTCTTGATCCTAATGCTTATGTCGACAGTTCTATGCACCATTAGCCTACACGTTACGTTCGGACGGACGCTTTGGAGTTTGGCGCGAGTGAACGCCACGGCCTTCGCGAAGACTCTTAGCAAATTGAGTGCATCTAGGCACATGCCTATAGTTGCAACTGTGACAGGCACGGCCGTGGTGTATCCTCTTCGTCGTATATTGCGGCAGCGGTGCTGTATCTGCTACAGCGCTTGGATGGGAAATTCGTGCCGGGCCCATTCCCCATCCGAGGCGCACTTGGGCACGCTGTTCACATCTTTGCATGTGCATACATGGCGGTTTAGTTTGCCATTCACTGCTTCCCTTACTCGTTGCCGACCAATGCCGAGCGTTTGAACTACACGTCCCTGATCCGGGGTGACACCACCGTCTCTTGCTGGGCTTTGGTGGTTGTTTGATGCTAAGAGGACATGTGAATGACCGACAAGAATTGAGAGTTGTTATGTTAGCATTCTTTAAGTATGACCCTTATGTGGGGGATCGTTGTTAGTTGGACTGTTGGTCACGTTGATCCTGCATTGCATTAGTATCTCGGAACTTTGTAAGCTCTACGTAATGTACCTAGTTGGCTAAGCTACTTCAACGCGACTGCTGATAGAAATGTTTCTCCGCCTTACTAGCTCGTATTAGAGAAGAAGAGAGAAAATTACATGAGCTAGCCCTGGATTACTCATTTGAAATGGCTTGCGTGTACTGGGGTGCCGCGCAATGCCGTTTCGGCTACGGGAGCCAATCTACCTGCCATATACGGTAGGGACAAGGCCGAAGCCGAAGCCGTCTTCATCACCGTGACTCACGCCGACAAACAAGTTTATTTCAGGGTGTTGGACGCAACTAAACCAGACTTTTTTCTTCTCTTCCTCATCATATCTAATTATTTCGAAAAAATTTGCGAGTGATTACAAACAAACTATTAACGGCACCCTCTTAAACATGGCTGATATAGAACTTAGCCAGGACGACATTGAGCGACATGTGTACGTCTGGGCCGCCATCCGTGAGTACGTCGTCGAGCGGCAACCATCCGGTAACATTGCCTGTCTACGCACCGACCGGCCTGCGGGGACGTGGGAGTATGTCGGGTTCGAGCCTACAAAGCAAGAGTTTGACGCAACTGTCGACGCCGTGCTCAAAAACAGGAACCATTTCCTTACAGTCATTGGCAAGGACATGACCCAGTACCGGGAAATGGCCGCCGCGCATGGGATCGACATCCTCGCGCAAGAAGCGCTCATGACGGTGGACCTGTCAGGCCTGTCGGTCGATTCGGCAACAACGGCCTCGTTTGTCAAGGATATTGAGGCCAAGGACATGGGTATCGCGACGAGGTGCCGGCTTACGGTAACAACGACCAAGGAACAAGGCAGCAAGCTGGCGGCGTCAGGACAAGTCGGCATTCAAAAGGATATGGCCGTCTTTGATAGAATCAAGACGGAGGAGGATATGCGACGGAAAGGGCTGGGGTCGCTGATTATGCGCTCGCTAGGCGCAGAGGCGCATGCAAGAGGTGCAAAGACGGGTTGGTTAATTGCCACGCCAGAGGGACAGTTTCTATATAACCATCTGGGCTGGAAGCATAGTTATTGGGTTCTGGTTCTGGGTGATAAGAAGGCTATTGAAAATCCATAGACGAGTAGAGGCAGGGGTTTTTGGGGTCAACATATAAGACGCCAGCGAGAATACAAAATACAGCGGGTTTAGAAAGATTCATATCAAGGAATATATTTTCACAATTATCCGTGGAGAGTCGTATCCTGAGAGAAGCTGACGGACAAGATCAAGATTGAAAAGTTGGAATTTATCAGACTCGATATGCCATGTGATTGTTACTCACTTGGTATCAACTAATAGAAAGCACCAACGAGGGTGAATCTGAGTATGATAAGTATAAAGGTAAAAATAATTGGAAATTGAGATAAGGGATGTCATGATGGTTTGGAGAATATAACTATACGCGGAAATCTTACCTATCAACAGTCTCAAGTTCAAAATTTGATCAAGACGGCGATGGCGGAAAACTTGGACCACCTGAAGAACGTAGGCTTCGAAGTCGTCAGGTACAGGTTGGATCACATCGAAGAGGCTATACAAGCTGCTGCACAGGTTCGTAAATTCGGGACTAGCATTAGTATTACTTCGTAGGTATTATACAGGCAGGCACCTTTACAAGCAGTTGGCAGTATAATTGAGCTACATCAGCAGGTATAGTTCAAATTACCACTTTCCCCTTTAAGGTTTCCATCCTCCTGTGCGTTCACGAAACAAGCCCTGGGGGTCATACTTTTGCGACGTCCTCTTCGCCAGAGCTGCATTTTCTGGCTTCAGTCTACCAAAGTAATCCTGGCGGTAAAAACCGTAGTTCATGAATAATGGTAGGTACACCCCGCTGGCTAAAGTTCCATCTCGCTGCCATCCAAGAACCCTGTTGCGCACACCCGTATATGTCGCTTCCATGATGTCTGCCATGGTATCGTACGGCCCAGGGAGGAAACTGTAGTTCATCTCAATGATCAGCTTGTCGGCATCAGGCTCTGCCGCGATGAGATCGTCGCTGCGCTGGAGGGCTTGCTGGGCAATACGCTTGGGAAATGGTTGATATGCAATAGATGCGACGATTCCAGGGACGGCAAGGACAGATTGAGACATGGAACGCCAGTGGGCATGGATGCTGTCAAAGAACTTGTCGCTGTTCTCTTCGGAGGGTAGAGGGACAGTCTCCGTAGCAATCTGAACAGTCGAGCCCTCGACAATGACCCAGTTGCTTCCTGCCATAAGACTGGCGTACGACTGAGTTCTGAGAGTATTAAGTATAGGATTGGCGTCGGTGAAATTTTGGAAGATGCCCTGTGGAGGGCTAGGACCGTCATAGAAGAGGAACAGAATCCATGAGTCAATCAAATTTATGTTGGTGCGCTCAGCTGTGACAATGACTGCAGCCTTATCATCGGTATTATATTCGGTAAAGTCGCGCACAGCCTTGAGTAGCTTCTTGTCTGTTTTCTCAGTCCGCGCGTAGACCAGATTGCCTCCGTATATATCACCTTGTCGGTAGGTTTGGAGCAGATAGGAGGCCACAATACCGAAGTTATTGCCACCGCCCTTGAGAGCTTTGAATAGATCTTCATTTTCCGTCGCCGAGGCGGTGACAATAGAGCCGTCAGCCAAGATTACCTCGTAGGCGAGCACGCTAGAGGCTGACCAGCCATATTGTGCAGACATATAGGACAAACCACCTCCAAGGATTAAACCACCAACTCCAGTATTACCGATACGTCCGCCCACAAACGTCCAGCCAGTGCCGTCAAGCTTAGCAGATATCCCATCAAGCCTGTTGCCGGGTCCAACTTTGGCGACACCCGTCTGTTGGTCAAGTTCAACATGGTCGAGCTTCGCTGTGGATATGAGGGGTCCGTTTTCAACCGATGAGAAATAGTTGTTCGGGTTATGGCCGCCAGACTTGACGGCAAAGTCCTCGTCGGTGTCCTTGAGGATTTTTACGATGGCGGCAACCTCCTCTGCGGACTTTGGGAACATGATACATGATGGCTTGATCAGACTGCATGTCTCAGACCAGTACTCATTCTGCTCGCTCGCATATGCCAAGGTGAGTGGACGAGCAACTTGGATGGTTCCAAGAGCCTCAACAGATGTGCAGGTATCAGCTCTAGCGAGCGCTATGAACAGTACCGCAGACAAAGCACTGAGGGTTCGCATCTCTGAAGTCTTGTGTGCCGGATAAGATAAGATAATAAGATAGTGGAATAAAGCTTATATATTTTGAGTTTGAGCGCGCTACGTGGAATATAACCAATGGGTATAATCTAGTCTCTTTATACAATTACCGATAGAAGGAAGCCCCTAAATATGTTTGACCGCCACTCAAACCTGTATTTTTCTCACATTAGGCTAAGGACTAGGCGTATATGCATTGAGGAGTGACACCTGCAGAATGGCTCTAATATAATGCATAAGCGAGCCTATCAAACACATGACCCCTTGGACAAAGATCCTTCTATGGCTGTGCCATCACTAAATGTACCAATCACATGAAACAGATTCCAAATCATTAAAGCCTCCAACTAGATTCTGCGTATATCAGTTAAGCGAGGTTGTCTTCCCCGGAACCCCGTTGGACAAGCTGGGTCGATTGATTATTCCGAAATCGTGGTTTTGGCGCTGAATCGGCCTGCATGTCGTCAGTGGCTTACCTTGGCGTGCGCTGAGCCCGCATAGACCTACAAGCGAGGGCGATGTATGCAATATCAAGAAGGATCATGTGGTAAAGGATGGTGAAGTTAGGGTTAGTGCGGAGGCCCGGCCCGGCAGACGACAAGGTTGGACGTGGGTGAGCCGGGATGCTCTTCAATAGCGTACTATTACCCCCGATACTAAGTGGGCATCTCAATGAAATTACTCACTGCCTATTCCAGTTTCCCGGATATATGGCTGGGTGTGTCAAGATTAGGAAACGTGGACCACTGACCGGGAGGTTGCCACCCTTACAGAAATGCACTGAATGGGGTGATCGACCCTAACTAGGGTCCCTTTTGGGATTTAATCCCTGCCGTTTCCGGGGAGCGGGACTGATTCAGACGAGCTGAATATGTAGCTTAGACATAACCCTTGTTCCGAGATGATGATTTGAATTCAATAGCTTGATCCTTAAGACAAGAAATAATTCTTCAAAAGTAGCAATGCCCTAATAACAAACCTTATCGGGCCTTTTTTTAAGTATAGCGGGAGGCAACCGACGTACGTCATTGAACTACAGCCTCTACAGGAGAGCTGAACCATAGTAATGCATCGGTGACAGACACCCGGCCCTGGATAGGCCTAGCATCATTGGAGAATAAACGAGGTCTCGTGACGATCTAAACAGTGGGTAATGGGGAGCTAGTTAGGATAGCTGACCACACGTAATAAGCAAAGATATATAGACCATGTTTTAAGCAAGCAAAGAGCCATAAGAGAAGTGTTGGTTGGGAATCAAAATGGAGCCACGACAGATTCTTCCCAGTCAATGAGCAAGCAGATTGACGCTTATCTAAAACTTAGTATTGGTGGGAAGACCCTAGCTGATCTTTTGGGGCGCCCTTATCAACTAATACTACTATACAATCATCAAATACTTTTGCTATACCTTAGACCATGTATCTGCTTTGGTCGTTGTATATAGCGTCTTATACTATTAAATAATAAAGTGTTCACTTTATGGGTGAAGATGTAATATTTCTAATAATGTAGAGTTCTATTAAACGAGCACATCCTCAAAGGGTTTCTTAATGGTCGTTGGCCTGTATCTAGAGGTCTTCCTTGTCTATATCATGCTAAATCTAGCTGTGCGGTGCACATCATGTCTTGAACCAGATCGATGCAATGTAATTAATTTAGGAACTTGGGATTTAAGAGAATTATCTTATACGGTATCCTATTTCTGACATCAACATCATTATCTACAAAGCTTACAAAGTGTATTTCTTTAATCTTCACTGTACTATAACTTCAAAAATTACAGTTGTTTCGCATCGCGGTCTACATTATCCCAATAATACAATCAAGCCTGCTTCACGTTGGCCAAACACTCCAGCAGGGCAACCTTCTCCCTCTGCAAAGCTGACTCCAGAGAGTTGAAGGGGATGCCGAATTTAGCCTGGACTGCTTTTGTGCGCTCTGGACCATGCTTGAGGTCTCGAGTGTTGATCCAAGCATGAAACTTGTGCAAGCCAACAGCGTTATTCGCCTCTTCCATTTCTATCTCGGTCCGCTTCCTCGCTTGGATATCCTTACCGCTAACTTTCTTCAAAATCTCTCCCACCTCCAAAGGGGTCAAGAATTCGTTGGCGAGGTCAATCTCCTCCCCACCAAATTTTTCAGCATCCTGTAACGCCGCTGCTGCGTACTTCCCGATATCACATGCATCCGTGTGAGCTATCGGAACTCCATCATTCAGCGAATGAAGGAATATCCCATCAACTGGAAGCGTAGGATAGTTCATGTACAAGCTCGGCAGCAGTTAGTCAAAGTGAATGAACGGCGGTCGAAGGATGGTTTACCCCTGAAATCCAGCCCCGCGGAGAATGTCCTCAACTAAGGCTTTAGATTGGTAATAACCGTGCAAGCCAATCTCTTTAGTGTTGTCCCACAGGTCCTTGTCCCCAGTATTGAAAGTTGTCGATGCGACAATGGTTTCCACGCCTGCCTTCTTGCACGCTTCGACAACAGTTGTAGCTTGTTGCGCCTCAATCCCTGGAGGATAAGGGAACGTATTCAGGAAAGCGCCCTTGCAACCTTGCGCAGCCTTGAAAACGGCTTCGGAATCGGTGCTTTCTCCTTTGAACACCGTGACGTTAGCCTCGTTCAAGATCGCTGGAAGCTTTTCGGGGTTTCGAACCACAGCATGGACATTGGCACCTGCCGCAAGTAAGTGTCTAATGATCCATTGGCTCTGTCGGCCAGTAGCTTGCGTAACAAGGTAGGTGCTCATGATGAAGACTCTTTACGTAGACTTTTGTGTTGCAGAGGATCGATGGAAGGCGTGACAGTGTAGATGATGGAATTGAGGACTCAGCAAGCAACTCGAGATTGGCAACGGGTGGAATATATAGGCGATGAATGACATATCCGCGCGCAGCCTCTAATGGTATCTACCTATGTGCCAATAACTTTAGACACCACCTCCCCTGTATGCATATGTGTTCTGCAGATGGTACAGCTCATGGCGGAGCATTTCAAAGCTGGTCATCATGTTTGTCGCGCAAGGGCCCAGAATGCCGGATGCCGGATGCCGTTTCCTGCAATCAGGAACGCGATCACAATGGTTTGATTGGATGACAAATTCAAGATTGCCTGGAGGAAAGTTGCTTTTAGTGGAGAACCACTATATATACCTTCAAGATTAATAATTGACCAGGAGAAAACTTGACTTTGGGGGGGACCATGACTAATAAAAGCCCTGGCAACTTTCGTCCGACAAATCGTCAGGCTTTAAGGGATCTTGTTTTCACCATTCCAAGAATCATCGTCTACCCAAAGCTCGGATCCAAGATCGGTCCTCCAATGTCCAACCAGACGAAGACGGCAAAGAGGGCATGCTGTACGTGTAGAGGTCGGTGGATAGCCTTGCCTACGTCTCACTACATCTTGAACTGACCACAGGTTGGGTAGCCCGAAAAACGCAATGTGACCGCTTACTCCCTAAATGCCAGAGATGTTCCCAACTCAAGCGTCAGTGCAAAGGATATGGAATGCGGTTGTCATGGCCGGCGAGTAGGAATAAGAAACGCGCCATCATTGGACCGTCGCCGACAAGTACGAGCGGTGACGGCAGCCGAAGAGCCGACATCCATGTCATAAACACCTATTTAAATGACGTTGACTGGTTTTACTGCATCTCTCAACAGAGTACAACACAATACCGGACTTATACAGTCTGGCCAGATCCGGACTTGTACGCTCAGCTTCAACCAAAAGTTGGGCACAAAGAAATAGTCGATTATTGTATATTCAAAATGCCCTTCCTTATTGGCAATGGAAGATATAGCTCACAGTTTATATACGACAGTTCAAATAGCTGCCCATCGCTCGTTAATTACGTTTGCTGTTGACACATCACCTATCCGAGATTCGGTACTCCGCGTGGCCCTTGCTCGCGATACTAATTCAGGGCTAGCTATTTTTTACGCGATACTTGCCGTCTCATCACTTTGTCGAAGCAGCCTTCACCAAGAAGCCGTTCGATATAAACTTACTGCAATCCACGTTCTATTTGAATCTGTGAAGCGTGGGAGTATGAGTGGCCGATGTTGCCCAACATGTTCTGCGTGCATGCTTCTAGCCGCCTTTGAGGTACGTTCAGAAGACTTTGAGAACTGTTGTATACGAAGTAACAGCTCTTTTTGCTCAGATTCTCACGCCAAATGAGAGTTCTGGGGAGTGGCTTATATATGTACGAATGGCCGCTGACCTTGTCCAACGAAATCAACTCGAAATATATCTGGATGGAGATGATGTCAGAAATGTCCTTGACTGGGTTCATTACCAATCTACACTCTCCAAATTTACCACGGCCCACACGAAAGGCGTTGCCGTGAAATCGAACAACTTTGAGTCAGATACTCCCGACATCACAGCAAATTCAAAATCACCTGCGGTAAGAAGGAGAGCGTACATATATCGCGTGTTATTTCCAACTGTCGCCTAATACCTAAATTCAGATCCTTACCTATCCCAGCTCACGAACCGTTCTTGACTTGCTTTCTACTACATTTGACACCATTATCGACCCAAGAAGTCAAACAGGTCAAAGCGAAGGCTACAAAGATCGGCTTATAGTTCTTAAGAGAAGTATCCAGGCCGTCCCCATCACTCCATTATATAACAATACAAGCCCCTGTCCGAAAACTACAGAGCTGTATAGAATTGTCACTATAATATACCTGTACCGTGCATCACAAGGCTTTCTTCAATCATCGGAAGAGATTGAATCTTTGGCCAATAGGGCGTATTTCATGATCAGTGAATGGCCATGTTGCTTTCACTTCTTTCCCGTGCTTATACTGTCTTGTGAAGCGCGGACAGAAGAAAGAAGACTCTGGATTGTCCGCCTTCTAGAGAGGTCCGGCCACGGGCCCCGCGGACGAGAATTACAGGCGCTGAGGATCGCAGTCCAGTCTTTATGGGTCCAGCAGGATCTTCACGCCGACAGCGATGTACTGATAAATTATTATGGTCTGATTAGCTCCGTCGTGAGCTCTTCAAGTTCACTTACACCATTTGTGTAGTTCCAATGACAACTTTCTCTTCTTGCTCAGCAGGGTCGGTCGGAAACAGCTGAGGCGGTGGACTATGTGCCCTAAGTCTTCTATCGCCTCGACGAAATGTCATTTTCGGCAGTTTTCGTACCGGGAATGGCGAAAAGTGTGGCAGGGATGATTTCGAAGCCAAAGGGCAGTATGGCTCTGGAAGTCTTTGGTAGGGCATGTTTAAGACTTGCGAGGAATACCGGAGAGAGTTTTGATAGAAAGTTAAAACAAAAGAAGAAGTCAGACCCAACAACTCAACACAATGAATACGAAAGGTCAAAAAAAAGCTTTGCTAGCCCAAGGCTGCAGTCATACGGCAGAAAATTCTGTAAACCTTCATGCCGATGACTCGCTTGCCGTCAGGACGAGCTGCGCGTCGAATGACTACTAAAGCTGCCCTCTTCACCTGGCTTCTTGTCTTCTATCCTTTGCCGACAGGGCAAGAATTAGACTTGCGAGGAATAGAGCGAGTATGTTGAGAAAACCGTCCCCCGAAGTCCATCCACTTTTTATACAAAAAGCTGGGGTCCGGGAGCAAGATGATGGAGAACTGTAACGATTCGCCACAGCAGAGGTTACCAATTGAAGCGGAATTGATGGAAGACTTGAATTTTCTATGACTAATAATGAGGGTCTATGGATAACTTATCAATGAAGGAGGTGTGTCACGTGAGATATCCCGTGATCTGAGCTTCGTCGCGTCATAAGAAACGATGTCTTGGTTGCGCAAGAACGGAATGACGCAGGGTCGGCCGTCGCGTTGTGGGGCAGATGGTCGTGATGTCGTGGACCCTGGCATAGTCACGCAATTGGTTACCCTACACCTCGCGGCATCTCCTGACCTTATCACAATTATAGTAGTAGAAGAAGTCCCTCGCCTGTGAGGAAGAAATAATATAGTAGTGGAGTAATTTTTATTTTTCCCTTCTCCCATCATGTCCTGGAAGTTGTTCGCTATGAGTTGAAAGCAACTATGTCCAATGTCTATCGAAGCTCTCTATAGCCCAATCAAATAACAACCTCGACTATAAACTGCCAATGGGTGTACATCGCAAACAGTCAGCTTCCTAGTCTACTGTTGGTACATAGCCTCCCTTCTAATATTAATAAAATTGAATGATAAGACCTTGAAGAAGAGAGCAATAATTTACTAGATTCTTATGGTGTATACAATAAAAGCTCACCACAGCCCTGATGACGCGACGGAAGCAGACGCGAGCTATGATGAGGCCAGGGTTGTTGGATCCATTGACGCAAGGTATTATAACGGGATTAGCGCTCAATAGCGCTTGCCATGTACTTTATCACTGTAAACCCTTAATAAAGATACCTGCTGTATTTTTATTAAGGGAGGTAGGTCTGCCAAAACAGGGGTTGTTGCGTAACAATAACATAGCACACAAAATCATTCCAAGAAGGGTCCATGAAACATGATCGGCATATGTCCTCATAATCTCAATCACTATGGGAACACTCCCTCTAGAATCCGTAATGGACGTACTGCGCCCAATTGAGGGGCATTGTCATGTCATCGGCCCGGACGGCCATCAACGCCTCTCTAAGAGCCCACGCAACCTTCCCATCGTTCCACTTGGGCTGGTCTTGAGCAAAAAGCGAGGAATAGAAGAGCCTCGCCACCTCTACGCACACCCTGTCATTTCACGGCTAGAGGCAGCTAACCACATGAGAGAAGCCTGCTATATAAAAGCCGCTCACCACGTGAATCACCTCGTCTGACAGGTTCTCTACCTTGTTCTGTGCTGTTGAGCACGCGGATAGATAGGCGAGCTTGGCATGCTTCAGATCCATTCCCGAGATCATTTTGACGGTGAGTCTGTCTTGGATGAGCCCAGCAGTTTCGCGGCATCCATCCTGCTCGTCATCGGCGGTGGAAACCTGTTCTTGCCGCTGCAATATGAGGCCACTCTTTGACGGGTCCAAAGGATCTGTCGTTCCGTGGCAAGCAAAGTGAGCAACTGAGCATCCCTTAAGATGGGACAACACCTGGCCGACGCTGGGTTGCACCATGCCCTCTCCTGGCATATGCCCCTTGCTCAGCTCAATAACATTTTCCATTTCTTCGCTGACGCCAGGCAAACTTGGTGGTGCCTTGCCATCGAAAGGGGGTATTGTCGGCATCGTCACTGCGAGCAGGGCGTCGCTTGACGACTCGCAGCCCTGTTCCTTCCACTGGGCATGGGCGAGAGCCTTGATGGAGGGCGTATATGACGAGATTGTCTGGTGGTACGCAGTCTCTGTCGAGCCGGGATCATGGATACCTGCTGCATGGAAAGGCATTGAGCTGGCGAGTCCACTCCCGATCCACCACACTCTGAAGGGCGCGCATACCGTAGGCTCGTGCAGAGTACGCAGACCATCCAGAACCACTTTGACGCAGGCCTTCCAGAGCCAGGATAGATAAATGGCGTATTCTTTATTTTTCCTTGCCCGTTCTGCCCTACGACCAGTCCAAGATATGTTGAGCCACGTCGTCGCCTCATCTGCTGATAGGTCCGGGAGATGAATTCTCTTGATGGCAGTAGGCGAGACAATAATAGCATCGCTGCGTAATTCTGTAATGTTAATGATCACGATGCTACCTCCCTTAGCGCACTCCTTCATTTGTTTTGTTGTCTGGCAGCGCAAGAAGCGCTCACAGCCTGGAATCTTTCTAACCTTGTTTATGCAGTCGTTTAGATCAGAGATGGACTGGATGCGCTCTTGCTGTGCTCGATCCCCTGCTATTCCCTGTTCTTGGATACGTATTGGGGAGTTGACTTTGTTTCTGAGCTTCTCATATCGTCGAGCGAGTTTGGGTTTTTTCGTCGCCCAACCAGCTATATCACTCCGGCCATCCATCAGCTGGCCCAGAATGACAGCCCGGCCTAGCTCAAGATGGAGCAGAGCATCCTTGACCTTGCCCATTACTAGTAATAGCGCGCACGTGTTCGCGGCTATACCTGCAAAAGTCGACACAACATACTGCTGATCGGTGCGGTTAAGGAGTTTCGTGTTGACCAAAGGGAGCAGGCCAATGGCTCCTGTGCCAATCTCGGCGGCGGCCTTTGCTTTGCCTTGGAGGACGAGTAGCCTGATGCAGTGAGTAGCTGACCTGATGCGATGAAACGGGATAGCCGAGGGAGTCTCCCAAGCCTCGATGAAGGAGTCGCAGGCCTCCTTGAGGTCGTCGGGCGACTTGGTTTGTTCGTGCCGTCTCTCGAGCTTGAGTCCCCGGTTGTTTAAGTAACCCGGTCGGTCTGGATGATCTTTGGGTATGGCTTCAATTGCGCGCCGAGCCAGGTCAATCGCTTCCTGGAGGTCATTCATCTCCCCCGTGCGCTCATAACGACGCTCAAGCTTGTTTGATAAATTATTCAAATAGCTTGCATAAAAGAGGTGATTGGCAAGCGTATTTGCAACAGCTTGCCGTGTTACGCTAATCGCCTCCTCCAGGTCGTCCATTACCCCCAGTTGCCTATATCGGCTTTCGAGCATTATCCCTAGGTTGCTCAACCAACCCGCGTGGTCTGGATGGCCTTGGGGAACTGCCTCAAGTAGTTTTCGAGCTGAATGGATTGCTCTTTCGCTATCAGTCACCTCTCCGGTCCGGTTGAAACGACGGCTTAGTCTGCTTGCTAGATTATTTAGGTAGTTTGTGTAGTCTGGGTGGTCTTTACATGTCACTGCGACTGCTTGTTGGGCCATGTCAATCGCTTCGTCAAGATCGCGTAGAGCATCGTTTTTCTCGTATCGAAGAACAAGTTTGTTTCCCAGGTTGATAAGACATGCTATTCGGTCCGAGTCATTGCCTGACGCAACTACAACGGCCTGCTGGGCTATATTGATGGCTTCCTCGAGGTGCTTCATCGAACCGGTAGCTTTATACCAACTCTCGAGAATGTTTCCCAGGTGGTTCAAGCAACCCACACGGTCCGGATGGTCATCAGGTGTAGCCGCGGCCGCACTCTTAGCCAAATCTGCCGCTACCTCAAGGTTGCGCAGCGCCCCAGTATGTGTATATAGACAATAGAGCCTTCTGGCTAGGTTAGTCAAGCAGGTGATATGAGGCAGGCGATTACTAGACGTGGCAGCGACTGCTTGTCGACCCACATTGATGGCTTCCTCGAGATCATCTATCACTTTGGTTCGCTCGAACCGAGTCTCGAGCACCATCCCCAAGTTGTTCAGCCTGCCAGCGCGGTTCGGATGTTGAATTGGCGTAGCTGCGACTGCCTGTCGACTGCATCGACTGCTCCATCGAGGTCACCCACCATTCCACTCCGCTTATAATAGTCCTCGAGGTAATTCGCTAGGTTGCTCAACCTGCCTGCACGGTCTGGGTGGTCCCCTGGCGTGATCAGGGCTGACTGCTGAGCCGCACTAACGGCTTCTCTAAGATCGCTTATGACCGCGGTCCGCTGATATCGGCTTTCCAGCATGATTGCCAGGTTGCTTAATCTGCCTACACAATTTGAATCATTATTTGCGGTATTGGCGACGGCCTGCTGGGCACTGAGGACTGCCGTGACGACATGATCGATTTGACCGGTACGCCTGTAAGCACCATAGGAATCCAGCGTGATCCGCGATAGGAAAGCGGGCAGATCTCCCTCAAAGATCTTGTGCTGTCGCGATGGGTTGCTGGACTCCATCGTCACACAGCCCAGCCACTTCTGCAGTGGGAGGACTGTTTTTCAGTGACTACAGTTGCAGAACCTCAGTTGAGCATAGGATAAATAAATGGCGCAATGTCCGGACCTCGACTCTAAATTATTAATTAGGTAGCTACATGTTTGCTGACGGCCAATGGTTTATTTGCCACGCCAGCTTGTCATGCAGAGCAGGGGCACAACACTGTGCGAGCTCTAACCACACCCTTGATACTGGAATATTTCTTGCATAAGGTACTGAATGTCGTCCCACCTTGAGTGCACCGGCCTTCTCTATTCTTCTCGAGATCTCATTGCCTTCTAAATTCCTTCCCTGCTCACGACGCGCAATATGTCACTCAGCGTCATTATCCCGGATCTCTTATTACCGCAAGACTCTGTCAAGCTGGGCCGTTTCATTACGAACATTGATCATCCACACCAGGGATACCACGACCCCTCGTGGACTGAAGCACCAGAGCCCATCATAACCCTCCGCGAAGGATTCACCGGGTCGAATACTAAAGAAAATGACACTGGCTTCATATCCGCACTCACGTCCCTTCTGTCAGTGGGATTTGCCAGGCGAGCCAGGGTGGAGGTGGAGATTACCGCAGACCATGTCAGAACCTATGTGCTCAACAACTCGGATGAGTGGTTTGTCAAGGCCACCGATTTTCTGGCGACCAAGACCTGGATCGAGAGACAGGTGGACCGGGACAACGACATGTTCATGGCTGTGGGCTTCCACACTGTCACGAATGCCCGCATTGCCCAGCAGATCGTTTCCGGAACAAATACCCACGGCAAGACTCACGTCCCCACCGGCCTCTCGTTGGCTGCCTTGGGTCCTATGGGGAGCATTCTTAAGCCTTCGATGCAGGCCAGTAATGACTGAACCAACAACGTGCGCACCAATTTCACGGCGCCTGGCGAACAGATTTGCACCCTCCAGTATCGCAAGATCCAGCATCGGTGGATGTCCAGCAAGACTTTCGACGCCTTGCGGCTCTCCAAATCTCCCCGCTGGACTTCAGTTGAGCGGGGCAGGGATGAGGAAGACGATGAAGACGATACTATTGAAGTCGAGTCTGTGCCAATGCCGGAGGAGGCTCTTGAGGGAAAATGGGACAGAATTAATGCGTCTGGGGGCGAGACTCTTTTGATACGCATCGAGACTGAATAACCATCTCTCTCGCATAAGCTATCAAAGCATAAGTTGTGTGTGATCAAAGGAAGCCTCACTTTGTACATGAACGCTCATTCACCGCGCAACATCGCCTGCCATTATATCCCAAGGGCAAACTGAATAGGGCTTTCGTTCGAGGAGACCGAATGAAGATGGAGGAAGTCATAGCCGAACTATCTTATCTACCGGCCCTTTGAGACCAGTTCTCCCGGGAGTAACAAACTCTACCACTACTACCTTTACAACTGGATTTTGCAGCAGTGGCCCTTTGGTGCAATCAAGAACCTATTATCCATTTCCATCATTTTATCATTCATCTCATGGTTGAGCTTGGCTCCTCGATATTCACGGAAGAATAATGCCGCTCCAAGTCGTAGCTCCACCCAAGCCAGATGAAGTCCGATGCAGATGCGAGAGCCTGCACCAAAAGGCGACATGGCTGTCTTTTGAACTGCTGTCATTTGTGACTTGTCTATAAATCTGTAGCCATCGAACCTGCAGAATGTTAGTATACAGATACATGGCTAGGCACGATAACGCTAGAAGATAAAATGCATACCTCTGTGCGTTTTGAAAGATGGTAGAGACACGGTGAAGTGTGTAGGCTTGAGTACTAACAACTATGCCCGAGGGAATGAAATAGCCACACGCTGATAGCCCCCTTTCCGGTACAACACGTGGAAGTGCGCCTGGTGCGGCACCATACAGCCGCAGAGTTTCCTCAATAACACTGTTCAGAAGCGGAGCGTTCTTCAGTTCTTCAGAAGTCAGGTCGGGACTTAGATCACCAACTTCGAGCTCCAACGCGGCCTGAAGCTGAGGCTGCTTCAGAACTGCCCAAATAAGATAGGTCAAAGTGACTGCCGTGGTATCAGAGCCGGCAACAATCAGATTCCCTGCCTCAGTTCGAACGGCAATATCTGTTATTTCTGTCTTTTCCTGGCCATCCGCCTGGCCAAGCATTTGACTGAATAGATTCGCCGTGCTGAGCCCATCATTAGCACTGCGCATATTCCGCACGGCCAGAGCGCCATGGCCAAAGACGATGTTGTGGGCGTTCATTATGTTCCTGATGCTTTTGAAAGGAAGATGTCTTAGGATTGGATAGAACCAAGATAGCTCGTTTCGTACCACTCCACAGAGGAGGGCAGCTTGAATTGCGTCAATGTAAGGCGTTTGCTTTGAAAACTGTTAGATCTCAGACTTATAATGGTCAACCAGAAAGGCTATACCTTGCCCAATTCTAGCATGCGGAATGATTCTCCAAACGAAAGGTGAGCAATAACATCAGTTGCCATGAGAGTCCACCACTTTAGAATATCGGTACTACCAGCCTGCGCGTCCTCTTTGATCTTTATCACGGCGAGCTCAGCTTTCTGTCTGATATCGGGCTCCCAGTGCGTCAAAAGCGAGCCGTTGCTAAAAGCGCGTACAAAGAGTCGTCTTCGGACACCGTGCTCGTGCGGACTGCGCGTGAAAAAAATACCAGGCTCCCGGCCGAATCTGAGTTTATCATACCAAGCAGACTTTATGAACCCGAAGCCGATCTTGTGAATCTGGGAAAAAGTCTCGAGGTCGCTAATGGCTACTTCGTCGGGGGATAGCCGAACGACAGTCCCGTATTCTCTGTGTAGCGAGTCGACATAATGGATGCGTCGACCAGCTAATATGTATCCTATGAGCACGATGCAGGTGAAACGACTGTACCAGGGACCGGGAATACTGCGTAGAGGCGATATAATTGCTAAGAAGACCGCGTAAGCTGCTGTCAGGATCATGAGAGCACCTACTAAGGAGGGCAACGAAGCCGCGTCGGTAAGACCTATTGCCATAGCTTGATCCAGTAGAATGGATGTTAGTAGGGAATAGTTGTTTAATTTAATCGCCAACTTGAGGATGACAAGCAGACTGACAGAGAGGGGACTTCTCGACTGAAAAGTTGTCAGTATGTGGAGGAAAGCATTTGATTGCAAAAATTATCGGCATGTGGAGGAAAGTATAAGGACTAACCTGAAAGTTGCTGTGGAGTGAGAATCTAACAATGCATCTTGGAAGCAGCACAACATACTTTAAGAATTTAAAATTACAATAGAAAGAGGATAGAATCTTATCAGAACACCACCAGTATACTTTTAATATAACAAATACTCCTAGTATAAAAACTTTCCTTAACATTTCATCCTAATACATTCCTTGTTCTATCTCTGCCTTCTCTATATTATTCAGTGCACGCCCAATAAGCTCTTGCGTATCTTTGTCTGGGACATCCTGCCCGTCCTCGACGCCAAAATCCTCTGCATCGTTGTTATCATCCTCATTATTACTACCATCAGAGAGCATGTCCTCATCCTCGCTGTCTTCTGAAGGCAGTTTCTGGCAGTCTTCTAAAAAGTCTTTCCAGCTTGGCCAGAGCCATGACTGAAACTCCTCCGTCTTATGTAGGTAGCGGTTCTCTCGCTTGCGGTGCAGCTGAAAGTCGAGCCAGACCTTTTGCGGGGCATAAATAAACCACATGCACATCAATCGTACGTCCTCCCTCTTTCTGGTAGGCTTGTAATTATGCTGGAATACGCGCGTCACATGGTCATAATTCCAGGATATATCCTCTTTGTAGTGGCAAAATCCTAATTCGGATAGTTGAGCACGCCAAGCTGTGCAGTTTTCATAATTATAACTCGCGCCCTCATTGCTTCCAGTTGGAGCTACCGATGGAGTCAGACCGTCTGAGATTTTACTTTATTCCTCTCTCTTGTGGTTTCGATAGAAGATAGGGCTGTTGGTATATTGCGAAACGCACCGCGAGTGAGCTGATACTCAGCTAAAGTGATAGACATTTGAGGCATTTGCGACCAGAAAACCTGGCCCTTGTACTACAATACCCCGCCATTGGTGGGATCAGGTACAGTTACCTGTTGGAGGCGAATGCAAAATTCAACGAGCTTGGATTGTTGATTGTGTGGGATACGCATTGACAGAGCATGAATGGTGAGCGAGACATTTGAAGCATGGCGGTATAAAGCATTATCGGCAGAAGAAGCTGCGGTGACCGAACTGAGGGTGACTATTTCTTCCACAGCGCTGGCCGCAGAAACATCGTTCTTGGTCACCACGTTGATGATAACCTGACCCTCTGGGTCAAAGTGCAGCTGTCCAGGATTAGCTTAAGGCGTGCTTGATGTGCGTGGAAATTGAAGTGACGCACATCATCAAATTAGGTCACCGATGTCGTAGGAGTTATTGCAGCGCCTGTGTTCGCCATTATAGCAGGTTTGTGGGTTGACTTCGGAATACAGCTGTATCGTTAAAAACGATCAAAATGAAGTAAAGCGATTGTATTATGGATGAGGAGAAAAGCTATCTGTTGTATAGTCCGGCGGAAAGTTTATCTTAGTAGGTGGCGGCTTATCGATTCATCGATAAGCCGATAAGTGGTATCAATAAGTCAATAAAGGTACTAAAGCTGCACCGCCAAGGTTGCAAGCTTGCAGAAAAAGTTGTAAACTGGGTGAATCTTGATAAGTAAAATCAGCATCTGCCGGCGGGTGATACCCACGATAGATATTTGCCCACCTTCGCCGATTTCATCAACTACGAACAAAGTTGGAAGTGGTCTTTAGCAAGTCCTTTCCTACCTACCTAATGACATAACGTTTTTCTGATAGACCCTGACTAAGGAATCGCAGACGACTGTTGGTCTTCTATATGGGCTGGTATCGCTTTAGTTTACTGCTTATTCTCGATGGAAGAGATAAACTACGACCGGCCAGAGTAATCTTCCGTGCTGGCAACAATGACAGAGGCCGTTGAAAATAACACCAATGGATGCTGATACAACAGAAGACACCAGCAAAAAGACGGAACAGATGGGTGATGACTCCACAGACATTGAAAAGGGATAGGCTGATCATACAAACGCTTACTGGTAGAAGGCGAGCATCTGGCCTCCGTCAAGGCCCAACCCCCCCCCTGCCCATTATGTTGGGAACACTCCATTCTGTGAGATATCCCGTTATTATCTACGCCGGCTTCATGTAAGATGCTAATGGACTTATCTGGTCGAGCATTCTAAACTCGACTGCAGGGATATTATACTCAAAGAATTACGACTTCTCGACCACTGACGTAGCCCTGGTCGAACCTGGTAGCACCCAACACGACTGCACCCATCAGCCCTTAGCAGCACACTCACTGACCCTTTTATTCTGACCTGGTCATATGTCGCCACCCTTTGTCTCAGCCAAGTCAGCTACCACCGTCGCCAAGACAATGCCGAGAAACTGAAAGTCTTGGTTAGTCAGGAAAACAGCGGATCAGTGCAACAGAGGCCGTTAGATATCACAAGGACCCAGACACTAACCTTGGGACCTTCCTTTCAGGATATGCCAAGAAGTAATATTACCTCTTGGCGAGATAAGGCCATAGTCTTACCATGTGCTTCGTCACCATTTGCCTTTAGTAAATGAGGGCACACCTTGTCAATGACCATGTCTTTTCCCATCCACACTGGGGTCAGCGCTGGATAACCCCGCACACCAAACCTTGTTTTGCCACGGATAAGCTTAAATTAGTCTGATCCTTACGCCTATGGACGTTCCACTGCGCTTCTTTGGAAGCCTATATAGCCACTTGGGTAGGGCTACCCTCTCTGCCCATCTTGTTTCTTCCTATTATTCTTTCCGTAAGGGTCTCTGTGGGATTTCCACCAGGTCAAGCTTCGTGACGTGGCAGCCAAGCTCTTCTCAGCCTTCACAGCTATCAACTACTCTTGCCGTTCCCAAATTAATCCGCAAAGATGGCTGACTCCAGGACGAGCGCTACTGAAGTCGTCGACGACAAGAAAATCCATCATCGGTCATCCTTTACACCTCCCCAAGAGCAAGCAACCCCCCTTGACTTAACCACTAGCGCTGAGGATGAGGACATTAAGAAGCCGTGGTATAAGAGATGGATGGAACCTGGTCACGTGTCGCAAATAATTCTCGCTGCTGTGATTGCTCTCGCCATCGGCCTGGGTGTTTCAGCTGGTGTTGGCTCAGACAATATACCCGAAGCTGCTATCGTGATCCTTGAGATCCCTGGACGTCTCTGGCTGCGTGCCCTGCAAGCCGCTGGTAAGGGAGCCCTCAAATACCCCCCATCATTTGGGAACTGACCTTGCTAACATTTGAGAATAAGTGATTCCAATGATCGTGTGCGCCATGATTCTTGCCATACAATCTCTACGCGAGATAACCAGTGGCGGCAAGGTACTTGGTCGGTGGACTGTCGGCTACTATGTACTCACAACCGTCTTCGCAATCGCCTTCTCCATTGTTATGACCAGTCAAGTGTGGGCTCCCTTGATGCAGGTATCAGATATGGAAGACCCCGACAAACCTAACAAGGCGTGGACAGACGGCTCGGATCGTAAGCCCCATGATATCGTTCAAACGCTCTTCGACACGCTTGTCCCCTCCAACGTGTTCGGCGCATTCGCCAACAACGAGCTTCTGTCCGTGTTAGTGATAGCAATCGTGGTCGGATACCTCATCAAGCCGGGGAATTCGTCTATCTTACATGCTGTCAACGAGGTCAATGACATGATTGCTAGAGTCATCGCATTCCTCATCAAGATAGCCCCCCTTGGTGTGTTTCATCTGATTTTGCCCAACATGTTCAAATTGGATATTGAAGAAGTTGGCACCAACCTGGGCATCCTTATTGGCGGATCTATCAGCTCGATGTTGATCCACCTCTGGATTCTCCTTCCTATCATTTATTTCGCCTTCGTTCGGAAGAACCCGTACCCTGTTTGGTTGAAGTCATCCAAAGCCTGGATTACCGCTTGGGGCACGGCCTCATCCGCAGGTACGATGCCACTTACTCTTCGCGTTTGTCGCGAGCGAGGCAACCCTGACGTTGTCGTCGACTTTGCTGTACCATTGGGCACCCTAATCAACATGGATGGAACATCCATTTATTTTCCCATGGTAGTCGTTTTCCTCGCTGAAACCTCAGGAAAGTCGCTAAATCCTGGCGAGTACATCCTCTTGGTGCTTCTGTCAACTCTTTGCGCTATCGGTACTACGCCTATCCCATCCTCTTCCCTCGTCCTGACAGTTATGATTGCTACTTCCCTTGGTATTGATAACCAGGGAATGTTTGGAGTTGTCGTGGCCATCGATTGGTTCATCGACCGTTTCCGCACTATGGTCAATGTCTCAGGCGATATCTTCGCTTGCGGAATCCTCACAAAGGTTACTGGCCTTCGGGATCCTGAGCCCGTCGTCCACGACGAAATTGTTCAGGTACAGAGCAACACTATTCGAAGCAATGATGATCGTGTCTGAATGCTTCAAGAGCAGGTGTCGAGTTAAGAGAGGATGAGGGCTAGTTAGTATCAGGTTGGAAATTATACCAAGGCCTCAATTCCATTGCAAGTCCTACGAAGATACGTAATATGTATTCAAGTATGGAATTCATTTTGAGCTTGGATTATATCTGGAAGTGATATTATTATTTCTGCCGTGAGCTTGGGTTTGGTTACCTTCTCCCCAGTCAGTATATACTAGTCGAGGCTAAACATCAGCGTCTAGCCGTTATTACTTTCCAACCCAAACTAACGTGAGAAAGGTAAATAGTGCTGAGGACCTTTAGACATTTAATTACATATCATTAGTTTTAAATAAGTGCTTTTTGTTAGTTGATTTTACTTATTTCTTGGTATAGTTAATTTCAACCCCTTATATACTTGTTTACTTGCTTAACCTCTTAAAACTGAATATCTGAATAGATTCTGTAGTATTAAAAGTAAATATCCGATAAGCTTCTATCTATCGCGAATTATAAGTAAAGAAAGTTGTGGATAGGCTTTAAGTTGTTACCAGCTCACTGCGTCAAATTCTAAGCCTAATTGACCAGGAAGATTATCCGGACAGTCGCAATGTTGCCATTCGAGCTTGCCTTGTAGTCCGGCTAACCGTGCAGCTGCTTCATACAACGATTTATTCAAATGATAGGCTTCAAACTTGATAGTTTGACCAAATTTGACAGCTTTGTGAGGATGGAAGACCGCTTTGTACACAAATCCCGCGTCGCCTGGAAGTCTATCCTGGTACATGTCTTCGAGACCAGTCATTGCCCATACTTTTGAATTGTGATGAGCGATGAAACTCCACACATTCTCCACGGGATGCATGCAGACGCCGACAAAGACGCCACCCTGTTTGAGGTTTTTGTGAATAGTCGAAAACATGCATACTAGTTACTTGAAGTCTTTTGCATAATTCAAGAACCATACGCCAGCAATCAAATCATATGATTGAGGATTATAACGCGGCTTCACTTGATAGGATGCTAGCTTACCTGAGTATTGCAAGGGTATCCGTTACCCCCAATTTCGGGTAGACATGTTCCCAAGGTGTACTGTGATGGTACACAGCTCTGTTTCGACACTGTTGCATAAAGGTCGGCTTTAAAGGAGAGATATCTTCAAATCCTTACTCAAGTAGATGAAGATGAAGAGCTTCCTGGTGCCTTGAGCTTGCCCTTACCCTTTCCATGCTTTTTAGGTGCTGGCTCGGGTGATGGCTTCTTGGGTGATGGCTTCTTGGGTGCTGGCGTCGCAGCCGCTTTACGGGCGGCTAGAGAAACTGCCCTGGCTTGAATGGACTCATTAGGATCTTCAGAGTAGCGTTTTACGGCGCCATTCCTATACTGCAAAGCTCTTCGTCGGCCGTTGGAAGCAGCGGAGGTGCTCCCAGTAGCCAGAAGGAGGGCGGTAGCGAGAAACAGAGAAGGCTGCATGCCGAAAATAAGTATCAGTCCTTTTTTATAATATATGACTGATGGGAACACCGAAAGATGGTTAGATATTCAAATCTGAATCTTTGAGAAGATGGCTGCTGAGAGGGTATTTAACAGCTTTCAATCACCTACGATTTCTCAAGACTTGCAAATTAGTAAGTGAAATTTTAATAATAGACCAGAGTGAGAGCTGGGGACCTCTCACTCTCTCTCTTGCTAATTACTGTTCAATTTTTGTTAGTAAGATATGTTCTATAAAAGGTACAGTGCCAGCGTTTTCTGGCTAGAAACATACATCTACACACGTAACCAAGTCCAGCCCCTGGCTGATTTAGGTCTTGTTGGTAAGCTCTGAGGCCGTATTAAATTGAGTTTGTACCTGTAGGCTGCAGCCCGGGGTAGGGATCTCTGTTGGTAAGACAAACCTTACACTAAGAGGGCGCAATATGCAGCCGGTCTAGAGTTCAGTTTTCGTGGTCATAAATGCTTGTTGGTAAGACCGTTTCTATGTAATGAGACCGCGTGACGCCCCTTTGCCCGAGGTAAACATGTCCTACGTTAGGAGACCGCAGTATCTATCTACAGCCTGCAGCCTGCGGCATGCTTTTCTTGTTCCAGATGTCTGTTGGTAAGACAAATCCTCTGTAAAACGGCGGCTAATGAAGATTATGTTAGTTTTGAGATTTGTCTGATCATTCCTCTACCAGGGTCCTTGTTCCTCATCCACTTCGTAATGCATGCTTACGATGCATCGTTTGCGCCTCCTCCAGCCCCACGCTTATCTCCACCTCAAGGCAGACATGCCGTGAGTCACGCTGAGCCGGAGGCTTGTGTGTGCGCATAGCTGCAGAATACTTATTATACCAAGACAGATATCACGGAAATGACCTCCAGCTTAAAATTCTACATACCCCTCCGCCGTGAGATTGTTTGCCTTCATTTGCAGCCCTACCATGCTTGCATTCAAATTATATGAACTATACTTGAAATACTCTCGGTTTGAGCTCTCAAACCTCAGAAAGTTGAATTAAAATGCTCTGCTCCATCTGTTCCACAGCACTTATGGGGATATGGGACCCAACTAAAACTCCACGAGTCTGTCAAGTCAAAGACTTTCTAGACGACCACAGTATCCGTGGATTCGAGTTGCCTGAGGACAGACCAGACGACCCAGACCACCTTCACCCAGAATACCACGTTTTCGGCCACCACCCTTCACAGAATTCCTTCGAGAAGTCTGTCCAGAATGGGTGTTTTCTGTGCTGCCTTTTGGACTCCAAGGGCCAGGCTTATGGGGATGGCAAGATTCGTAATCTTGATAAATTGGGATATTATTCCGTTCTTGCCATTAACTTTAAGCTTGCCGAAGCCCTAGTCTTTACTTTATTTTCTTCTCAATGCTATATACAACAACTTGTACAACAGCTTGAAGGTGTGTAATCACTACCTTGTTATTTCATCTTGTGAATTAATGAACTAACAAGCTATCCAAGGCTCTGTGGCAGATTTCAATCCTAGAATCAGCCCCTCAACTCAAGACAGTGCAACTTGGGGCCTAATTCAAGGTTGGCTAGATACATGCCTCCAATCTCCCACACGATGTAATAAGCCGAAAGACCCCGCCTTTACCCCAGACCATCTCCTTGAGCTTGATATTGATACTCGGACCTTCCGCTTGGTTGCTGCTGCTGAGATTCAAGCTGGCACCCGCTACTGCACATTGACCTACGCCTATCAAGTGGATGATGTTGAGATCGCACCCTCTACCATTCAACAACTACAGCCCCTCTCTATCCTACCCCAAACATATCAAGATGCCTTCATTGTGGTGGAAATGCTAGGTCTGAAGCACCTTTGGATTGACCATCTATGTTTGATTCAAGATAGTCAACTGTCTCTTGAACAGCTTACTATCGAAAACAGAGACATATTCTTGAACAGTTTCTGTGGCATTGGTGCCACAAGCGCTACTTCACCTTCTTGTGGGCTTTTTGCCCAGAGAGAACCACAAAATATTGTTCCTGGTCTTGTTGACTTCCCTCTGGATGCTAGCGGCAACAAATCCGTCCTGAAATTTGATCATCGAACCCCTCAGGTGGAGAGTTTTAGTGATGAGCCAATGGTAAAAAAGCCTCATACTATGCAGGAGCGCCTTCTAACGCCAAGGATGATACACTTTGCTTCCACACAAGTCTACTGGGAGTGCTATGGGGCTCTCAACAGTGAGCTCAATCCCCATGGCATAGTACTGAGACCAAATACTACCCTGGGTAGAGAAGGTGAAAAGACGGCAGGGGGACGGACACTTCTCTCGATGTGGAAGCCACTTTTAGAGGTCTGGTTCTGGTCTCATGAAGATCCAAGGGACGAGCTTTTCGGTCGCTGGAGCCACTTTCTGACCTACTATCTAAAAGGCAGAGATGAATTCCCGAAATATAGGCTCATATGGCTCGACAGTGTAGTCGCAGAGATGAAGCATACTCTAAAGGAGCTTGGCCGTGATGATGCATACCTTGCAGGGATGTGGAAGGATACACTCCCTGGAGGCCTTCTTTGGGCTGTAATACAAACAGGAACCAAGCCAACTGAATACCTTGCCCCGTCTTGGAGCTGGGCCTCAAACAACGGTGTCATTGGCTTCCAAAGACATAGCGCAGAGGAATTTGATAACGGGATCCTTTGTGACTTCATTAGTGGCACTTGCCAGCTCAATGATATAGGACAACCCGTTGGTGGACATATTATTCTCATGGGAAAGCTTCTTATTGCAAAAGTTTCCCATGATACTGAATGGCCCCTTAAAGGTGCTACAAGAAGGGAGATTCTGAGCGTGGCTGATCCAAATACCGACACTTGTCTAGCCGAGGCTCCAGAATCTGTGCACAAGCACCGTTGGAATATCTTCTTTGATACAGAGGAAGATAGAAGGGAGTCTGTGTTCTTTCTGCCGATTCAAAGGAAAATTCAAGAGAAGGGACAGCCTGGGAGTGAAGAAATGTTCTTGATTAAAGGTATTGCCTTGTATAAGGTGGACAGTGGTTTGTTCCGGCGCTGTGGCCAGGCGGATATTATGGTAACAAAGGATGAGAATAAGTTTAGCGGTCTTCTAGACTCTACTGTTCAAATTATTTAGCTTAGAATTCCTCTTGGGGCACTTAGGGGCCATGGAGGGGCGGAGATGCAACGCAGGAACGTTGGAGCGAACACCCAAATTATCATCCCTGCAAAGGCGAAGCAGGTCGAGGGAATAATCGAGAGCGGTTTCGACTACTTCGCCGGAGCGGACATTGAGGATGGCGGTGATATAGTCAAAGCGAGCTTTCATATAAGGTCGAGTGCACTGGAAAAACCGAAAAGGTCAATGATTTTGTCGAAAGGGTTCCCGTCCGTGTCCGCGGCGGGATTGGCCCGCAGCTTCGCCTCTTCCTCCGACATCTTGTCCCCTGTCTGTTTGATTGGGATGCATTGGACCGTGTGACTGCGTCGGTCGGCTTTCTGGTGGGCCTGTCCGCAATACTTCACGACATGGCAGCCACCACAGCAGAGGAGGCTAGGGCTCTGAAATCCAACCAGGCACGGGGGAGACCGGAGGCTACAATTGCCGTAGGGAAGGCCTAGATTCATGCGAGGCATCTTGATCTTGGTGGGTAAGTAAGTAGAGGTAGGCGTGAGTCGCGATTTGTCAATTGCGTGGAATTTTGCACGATGCAAGTATAAAGTTAGTAACCAAACCCAACACAGAGGCGGTGAGGCCGTGATTTATAGTTGTGTGTCAATGACTTCATGCTGGTATAAGGGAGAGACAGTTTGTTTTTCCCTTATTATTTAAATCTCTATTAAGAATAACTAAATATTATTTTGCTAGAATATTTTAAATATTTAATAAATAATTATTTGATATATCTACCAAATAGTCTGAAACGAATTAAGAAGTTAATTCCTCTTATACTGCTTCTAATACCTAAATTCCCTAAAATAAAGAAAGGCGAACAGTAGATTTAAGCAGAGTAGAATACTACCAAAGTATGTATAACCAAGAATAACTCCAGGCCGGTTCCTTATCCTATAGCTCCTCATTCAGAGCCCACTGGAGGCTGGATCCGTCAAATTCACCAGGATGAGCTGCCACATGATCCACCGAGACAGGTTTGGATTGTCTGAGAACCGCCCCATCGCCACCGATCGCTTGTGCAATGATCAGGGTTCCCTTAATGTCGAATTCCTCGTGAAAATCCAAATGGCTTTCGAAACCTTCCCGCTTCACCTCACCTAGAAGACGGGACTTGCCCCCTGCACGCTGGGCGTAGAAGCGCCATTTAAATGTCTCGGTATCTCCATTCCAGGATACGTAGATATCCAAGGTTGCGCTGTCAGATACTCTGGCAGTCACAGCTGGCTCCTCAGCTGGCTTACCAACCCAAGGCAGCCTCCATCCCCGATAGCTCTGAGCAAAGCGATTAGGCTTCGAATCAAGGTAGCTGTGAAATAGGACCTTGCCGTCATTTCTATACTCGGTCACGGCCCCCGCTTGGCCCCAGTTGACAAATATGTTGCCATTTTCCAGAGGCTGGACGCTGCCCTGCGTGTGGGCAGACAGACCATCGGGTGCTTCATATGTTCTGATGGCTCGGGCAGTTGATGTACGGTGACTCAACTCATATATCCGGGCACGAGACGTAGGATGGATCTTGTTGATGGGTGCGGAGTGAGCGCCATTGTCGAAGAGGGAAATAATCTCAATGTTGCCATCATCATAACGGCCACGGAACCGCGCGTGATGTTGAAAGGCGAAAATATCTTCTTCCTGCAGCGCAAAGTCGGACCCACCTCGGTAACCCCCAAGCTGCCAGATCACATTGCCACTTGTCCCATTGATTTTCAGCACTGCTGCCAGGTTACGAGCTGAGATGAGGTAATTGCCCTCGTCGTCCTTGTCAACACTGTTGATGTGGAAATAATTCCAAGCGTCCGTTTCATTCCGACCAGATCCGGGGATTCCAGGTCCAAAGTCAAGCGGGAACGCACTCTCTACGTTAACATCGTCAGCCTCATCGATTCGACAAGTAAATGATAATGACTCACTCTTGGGATCGACATGATCGAAACTCTGCCACTCAAACAAGACATCACCCGTCTCGATATCAAGCTCTGGATTGACAATCAGTAATGAATCCAGCTTATAGTTGTATCTAAAACTTGCCTTGAAAGCCACCCGAGACAATCCAGTTCTGGTCTTTGCTGCCGCCCCAAGGGCTGAGAGATACAACAACCGGAGTAGGCGTTTCCACGAGGACGGTCTTGCCCTCAATCAACTTGAACTCGTGTGCTGATACTAGGCGATGGTTTCCGACCTGAACCTTTTTGGCCAGCTCATAGTCGTCTCCCAACAGGGTATGGAAGCCATACATGCGGCCATGGGGACCGTCAAGCCGGCCCTGGAATGACCTGAGGTATGGCTTGCCATCCCATGTATCCGGCCTAAAGTTGGCCACCCAGCCGGCATGGTAGCCGACGCCAGACCAGACTAGCTCTCCGTCATCGCGGAAAATGTAGGCGCCTGGCTGAGTTGGCCCGTGTGATCCTTCTTCGAAGCCAAGGTATGGGGCAACAAAGATGAGGCCCTCTCCCACCTCGCCAGCACGAGCTGGGACTGTGATATTGAGTTTTGGCACAGCGAGCTCTGGGCGGGTGACGAAGCGGCTGTCAGCAACGACCAAAGCGCCCAGCACAGCCAGGCATGGGACTAGACTCAAAGAAGAGTACTTCATTGTGACCGTCTGGCAAGCAATCCTGAGCAGCAAATGATGAGTTTTGCAAAAGAGCGAGGTGCCTCGCCTTGGAATTCGGGGGCAGCCGATTGCGATTTATGCCATTCCAATCTCTCCATTAAACGCGGCCTAACAATGAATGACCTACAAGTATGGCGTGCGTGTGAAACGGCATTTCAACATTCTTCCCGTCCCCGAAGGCAAAAAACGCCATTTAATCGTGTGTTGATGAATGCTACAAGTCTTGATACTAGCACAACAAGGTTGGAGCCCTTCCATCCGATCCGTACCCGGTCCGTGATCCGGCGGTAGGAACGGAAGCGGTTGATGTCGCCATCCCGTCTTCTTATCACGTAAAATGCACAGTTCGCCCTGGGAACAGATGCCATGATAGATTTTTGGTTTGAGATTGATTGTACACCTACATACCCGTCTATAAGCATCAAACTTGTTGTCTTGCAGAGGTCTTATCACTGTAGAAAATGGAATTGAATACGGATGTCATCTTCGGCATATTTACCTCGCCAGACTAGTAACTCGAAGGACATTCTTCCCAGATTGTATGGTGTTCTTTCTTCCAAGTCTTGCTGCAGCCTTGGAACTATGTTTAATCTTGGCCGTATTATTCTATTTGTTAGCTGGTAATTCCGTACGCGCCAGTTCAAAATGTTCTAAGAATGACTCTAGGATCCTGGGTTTGGTCAGGAGGATTATATAGTAAATAATAGTCCGGGCTAGACTGACGATGAAGGATCTGACGCAGAAATTCATCACAATAGTGTGAAAGAAGTCAACTCTGGCCCCTTAATCTTGGCCGCCCTTGTATATATCTTTGTCATGTCCAGTTATTTCACAGTTTATGAGCTAGTGGAAATGGTTTAAAGATTGAGAAACGTACAAATTACTTATTTGGATACTAACTATCAAAACCTTGTGACAAGGGAGGTAGATGAGCTAGGCAAGCATCCAAAATTCCAAGATGGCCTCGGCCAAGCCTTGTTACAGTCCTCTATCTGATCTATTTCGATACTGACGATGGTGGTTACTCACTCAACACGTCTACCGCTGACAGCTACTTCCAACGGTTAGTAGGAGAAGCGGGTCCCAGACCGACGGAGCTTTCTCTGGTTCCCAAGATAGTACACAGCGTTGGCGACGAGGGCAAAGGCAACAGATGCGGCCGACAAGCAGACTATGACTGTCCAGCCATTGCGGTACAGAGGCTTGTCTTCTGACCGAAAGAGCTGCCCACCCACGATGCCGGCGCAGTTGGCAGACATGATGTGGATGGCCATTGTCACGGAACGCTCCCCGGGGGTTTTCGCATTCAGCGAAAGCCAGGAACCATTCACAGGATCTAATGCTATTTAGCAAAGTTGCATTTCAGATAGTTCCGGGGAAAGACTTACGCCAGGGCCAGGATATGGCAATCGTGGCTGCCAACATGACATAGCGAAGAATGGCGCTTTGCGACGTGATGATGCAGCGATTGACAACCTTGGGAGAGAACCTGAAGTTAGCAAGATGTGCGTCAATAAATGAGCGTGGCATTCCAGTACATTGAAAATAAACAGCAGAGTCAGACCCAAGAGGACGAACGGCCCTCTCACTCGTAATTTGTCACTATCAAGGGTCAGGTCCAAAAAAAAGTCTGGGGATCCAGAATGGGCGAACTCACGAAGCCCAACCCCAGAGCAGGATGACGAAGAGCAATATCCAGTACCCGACAGAGACGAGGAGATTCGACTCTAATCGACCGAAACCGAAGCCCTGGACGAGGGTCGGGGCATAGGAGTTGAGCGAGGAGACTGGTGCTAGACCGCATATGGTCAGGGCAACGTGCGGAAGCAGACGCCAGTTGGTGAACTGTGAGAAAACCAGTTTGGTTAGGGAATGAAAAGAGACCTGGTGTTCGGACCCTCAAGACTCACGACATTCTTGACCTCTTGCCAGATGACATGTGTCTTGACCTCGGCTTTTGATGGATCATCCGCAAGAATTCTCCGCGTAAGGATATGGGACTCACGCTCTGAGAAGAATCGAATGCCTATCAAAGAAACTGGCTTCGGGATAGAAGTGGGGAAGATTGTTAAGAATGCGATACCAACAAGTATTGTGAATATTCCCTCAATCTTGAGCTCATTAGCTTGGATCTCTCGGGCGCGACCGATTTCATAAACATACAAGGAACAGCCACTGCCATCCTGCAAGACCACCGATGCCTCGCATTTGCAACCTGCAGACAACGTTAGAAGATAAGATGATGTGGCTCAAGAGAGGAGTGGGAGGTAGACTGACACGCCGTAGGCAATGATTCCGGATAGCGCAGCGGCGAGAAGGTTTCCCAGAAAGAACCATGCGAAACGTTTACTGATCTCATCCTTCTTGTACCATCGGCTCAAAGTAAACAGGCCGGCAGGGATGAAGCCAGCTTCTGTCAAGCTAGCAAGCGCAGAGTCGTTAGTAAACTCTGAATGAATGGATGCGTAGACTCACAACGTACCCGAGCAGTAGGCGAGTAGCCAGGTAAGGTCCAAGGCCCTTCTGGAACGCCTGGAAGGTGGCCACAAGGCCCCTATTCACAGTCAAATAATGGCCTCCACAACGTCATCAGAGCTAGTATATTATATTTACCACGCAACAACCTGGGTACCGATCCAGATCGTGGGTCCCAAACGATAAAGTACCAGGTTGCTTGGAATCTAGGTCGCTTGAGCATATGGAGCAGCCTTCAATAGATAGAGAGGATGCCCACCTCAAGTAGTACGATGCCCATTGACAACAGTTGCTGGCCGACGTTGAATTGATTTTGTGTGATATCCACATCACGAAGGAAATCATCGGTCAAGGCGTTGCCACTGAATATAATGTGAGTGGGAGAGTCTATGCTATGACAAGCAAGCAGTTGAAAACATGGCCGCTTACATGTTTCCGCGGTCGAGTTGCAAGGCCAAGAATCCGAGGATCAACAGAGGCATCACGTAAAAGTCCACTCTATAGCCCATGTCAGTCAATGCTGCAACAACATTGATGCGCGAGCCTTGCATACCTTCGAACTAGGACCTTTTCCTCTTCATCAGTCCAGTCATGCTCGGTATCACTGGTGTGATCGCCGGTTTCCACAGCCTGGATAGGCAGGGAAGATACTTTGTCGGAAAACTCCATGGATTCAAACAAACTGAATGTTAAATAAAACAGGTTTTTTTTCGAGTAGACTTGGAAATGCAGAGTTAAGGCTTATGGAATGTTAATTAATTCCTGAAGCAAGCCGAGGACCGGATACAAGTTCTTATAGTAAATAAGTGAATGAGAATGGAACACTAGATATGGCATCAGACAGAAAAGCTAGAAGCTGATCCCTGGAGCATGCAAGTTCTAGAGCAGGGTCCCGGGCTGGAAACCGGATACTACACATAAACCCGACGCTTGCTCTGACGACATGCCGTCTGTAGCTTGCACCATCGGCGCCGCGGCCCACTTGGCGGCCACACAGTCGCACGTCTTTATAACTATGTACTGCCTTAAACATGGACAAAAGCTGCACTATTGGCTAGAATCAAATTACCGAAGCTTCTGGCTCTTTCGTTCCAAGTAGAGATGAAAGATGAGACGGGTTACTCAGAACCTTGGCCACTGAGACTTGGCACAGACGTTAATCTCGGAGAGGATATGGAGCTCATTTATTGACCCAGCGTGGAGCATCATGAAATGCGCATGCCTATTCTCGCAGTTGTATATTGCAACTCTCGAACAGCCTGTGCTTATGTTCATCTCTAAGCTATGTCTGTGCTGCTAACTTTTTACGATACTTGTTTATGATACACGCTAGAGTTCAGCATCCTCAACCATGATGGCGGCTAGAGATGGCACCAGAGACAAGATGAAGCCAAATGCTAATTGAAATGTTAACTGGCTGTGATGAGTATGGGAACCTCTTTGGCAAATCAAAACATACTAAACGCCGCTCGGAGTGCGTCTACAAATGACTTGATAATGGTTCCGCGAATATCATCGGGCATGTTAGCAATTACCCTGATATCAGAAATAACTTGGCGTATGATCTACATAATGTTAGTCAAATGGGCAGAACTCAATCGTCTTCTTCTCACCTCGACTTTATCATGCCGCTGTATTCTGGCTAGTAAATGCTTCTTGAAGAGAGACTGGGTAATTGCATTGTCGACGGACACACCCAGGCTAGATCCCATGCTACTGACTAGGAAAAATATCCCCGTCGCCACGGCCATGTGCTCTTGTTCCAGGTAGGAGGTCATGGAAATAAAAGCAGCTGACGTTGCCATGCCCGTCGCCGCGCCACCGGGCACTACGTATAATGACTCCCATGGTGCACTTGACCCATCCCATCGACCCAAGGCGAGAATATAGCTCAGGCACCCAATAGGGCCGGCAACCACCAGTATCGACCTAAATCTCCTGGCCTTGCGTATATACCTCCCTGCCAGCAAAGCTCCGGCCGTGTTGGCCGCTATGGCAGGGACCAGACGCATGCCACTCGCCGACGCTGATTCGCCCCGGGTGACCTGGAAGTAGATTGGCACGGAAAACATCAGGGTTATCTGCGCAATGACCTGCAAGTGTGCAATTATATAGGAGACGGCGACATTGCGTCGAGTTAAGATCCGTAGATTGATAATCGGGTTATGAGCCTGGTAGAGCTCAAAATAGACAAAGGTCGATAGGCCAGCGACCAAAGCTATTGAAAGCAGACCTGATCCGAGAGAGCTCCTGGAGCGACCGTTGATCAGGATATTGGCAATGGTGATGGAAGATGACAGTAGAACAGCACCAATGTAGTCAATCTCTTTAAGCTTTGTTCGAAAAGATTTGTCTTGGCCGACAGGATCATGAGCCAAGTCTGTGTCAGACATCCGCCCATCAAAGAGCAAGGTTATCATGGCCGCCAAGATGCACAAGACTGGAACTCGACTGAAGAAGAGTCACCGCCACTGGGCATTGTCCAAGATATACCCGCCCAGGGGGCCGCCCACACCCCTCCCGAGGGTCGAGGCCATGTTGATGTAGGATCGGTACTGGGCGACATAGCTTTTGGGGACTGAATCTGTGATTATAATGGAGGAAATGATCATGAGCCCAGCACCACCGAGTCCGCTGACGGCTCTCCCAACAATGGTCATCCAGATGCTGGGGCTTGAACCGCATATGATGCAGCCAGAAGTCGAGAGTGAATAGGCACAAAGAAGGATAGCCTTGCGGCCAAATATATCACCGAGCTTCCCATACAAGGGCTGGGCCGCGCACACACCAAGCGTATATGCCGTGACAAGCCAAACAGCCGCCTCGAGTTTTGCAAACTCGGAGACGATCAGAGCCGACGTTGTGAACATGAGTGTCGTTTCTGCATGGGATATTAATTCTCCTGTTGCGCCTCGGTCAATGCATGTTGGTTGATTGATTAATCACTTGGGGTTTAGGATGGTTACCTAATAGCAACACTATGAGCAGCGAGGTTGTGATGGGCAAGTGCTTAGAGTGTACCTCTCTTCCACTTAGGAGCGGCGACTCCTCGTCAGCTCTATGAGCCATTGTCTCGAAGATGGTCTCGTGCCGTCAGATTTCACGCGCAGGGTATTCTCAAATCGCCAATTCAACGCAATTCATCAGGACTCTCAGATCCATAGATCCGAGCTACAGAAAACTCTTGCCAAAGCAGCACATGGCCTCGATGATTTGATAGATTATAGGCACGCTCACAAGTCTGGTACGAGACTATCCCGACCTACGGGTCCGGATGCGGATGCGGATGCGGATGCGGATGAGATCTGCCGGTGGATCGTCGCTACTACTTCCATCACTACTTGCCCATCGGCCAACGCCCGTGGATAGATGATCCAAGCGAGATTCAGCGTATGAGTATCACTAAAGGCTGATATATCACACACAAATCCAGGAAGTCTGCCAAACTTGTTCATTTACTCATAGGCACACTAAACTTGAGAAATATGCCTTATACTATGCTCTCGATTGGCGACTCTGATAACATTTGCCTGCTGTAAGGCGAAGGCAGTAGGTTCAAATTGTGCCATTTGAGCACTTGAGTGGGCCATGTCGCCATTCCGCCAGCGGATGACGCCTTTTCCGTGAGCATCCCGAGGACGATTGGGAGTGAGCTACAGCGGCGACGCTACATTTTTCCATCCAATCTACTCAATATGAAGAGGAGCAGAGGATCAATACGTTGTTGTGTTTCGATGATTGAGAACCCGAGCTTACGTGAATCCGTTGAGTAGAGCGAGTGTTGCCTAAGAGACGAGGGTTCATTATACCGCCATTCGTTACCTTGCACCGCTCTCAACGTGCCGAATGGATCTCTTTGAGAGACCTGCGAAGAGGGTTCGGAAGGCTTGCGATGCGTGCCGGTAAGCTGCCTTGCCATGCCGTCGGATGGGCATACCACTGATCCATGGCTGCCATCTAGACGCAAGAAGTCCAAATGCTCGGGTGAACAACCTACTTGCGCGTCGTGCGCTCGTCTAGCTCGGATATGCTTCTACGCCAACGAGGAAGATGATCCCGCCCTCCCAGAAAGGCGATTCCCGGATGTGTCGGATTCTGGGGTTGGTCCGCCGGGCCGTTCCGCAAAGGGAAGAGAGCCAAGAGAGCCATTTAGTCAAGCTGCAGACCTGAGCCTCGTAAGCAGATTTGATTCATGGTCCACCGATGCAGACTCGCTGACAATATCGCCTACAGCAAGCTCGAGTAGCGAGTTTGGAGTCTGCTCTACGGGAGATTGTCCAGTCCCCCGAGAACCATCAGAACAGCCGTGGCCATCCGATCCTTGGGGACCCCTTGCGTGCTTTCCACCGTGGACAGGGCTACTCAGGCTACTTCAACGCGCCGTCATCTACGGCTTCTTCGAATGCGAGACAGCCAACGAGCTCTTTGGAATTTCCCACCTTGCCTGGCCAAACCTGGGGCATCGTTGCAGAGCTCTACCTCACGTTTTGTTGGTGCCAACCTCTACCATTATTCGAGCCGTCCGGCTTCATCGCGTCCTTCTCAAGCCGACAACCTGAAGTAGTTTATGCCGTCTCGGCATTGGCCATCAAACACGTGAGCCCGTCACAGGAACAGGCCGAGGACGATGGTACAAAGTCTGCCGGGTACGCCCAAGTTGCATACCAGCTAGTGATGCGGCGGATTGCCGAGGGTGAAGTGGAACTGCCGACGATACAGGCAATCTGCCTGCTCGCCCTATTTGATATCGACGGTACAGTTACTCACTCATCAATCGAAAAGCAGAGATATCCACTAACGCCATCACCGCATCATTATAGCCGGGAACACGAGTAGGTGCCGCACGCTGTGTGCCCTGGCATCGTCTTTGTGCCACGCCGCAGGCCTCCACAGCGCCGTAGCAAATGCAGGATCCCTGGACGCTAGCAAGGAGCGCCACATGTGTTTCTGGAGCGTCGTGCTATTGTGCCGCCTGCTCGGGGAACAAGAGCAGCTCACTGCTCTGCCCGACGGTGCCCTACCTCCATTCCCAGATGGCTGTTACTCGCCGCCCACAAGGATGAGGGAGGTCCAAGATGCGCCATCTTCGCTGGAGCCAAGTAATATCATGCAAGTTCTCCTGACCTTGAGCGAGCCGTGGGCGATGGCCATGAGGTACATCAGACACGTCAGAAACTCATCGGGCCCCAAGAAGTTCCCGTGGGAAGAAGGTTCAGAATACTCGAGGGCCACAGAGAGCCTGATGAGCATTGGCCGAAAATTGCCGTTAAGCCACAGGCAGCGCAACATCAAGCTATCCGAAGTCAAGGCTGAAGACCTCGAGGAAAGTAGGTACTACTGGGCCCCGTGGCTCTGCACACGATTAATGTACCACACTATTATATGCATCCTAAATCACCCGCTGCTCATCACATTGCAAATACAAGGTGTCCAGAACGTGTCAGAGGCATTCCTTCACCATGCAGCCTTCTCAATATCTAATCACGTATCATGGATCATCCATTATCTCGACTTCATCGACGCGAGGGCGTTCCAGCTGTCTGACCTATTGGTGACTTACTGTGCTGCCGTCGTGGCGAGTATAGAGGCGCAAAGAGGCTTTGCTCTGGAAGGAGCCCTTGCCATAAAAACGAAACTTAACTTTAAAAAATGTTCAGATTTCATCTCGAAAATGAACAAATCCTCACCCTTGGCCGAGAGAAGTGTTAGTGCGGTCCCATTGCTCATGTTGGGTCGACGTCCCCTTACTAACCTGAACCGATTTAGGAGCGCAGTCTAGCACAGCTCGTACAAGAAATCAATTCCCGGTCTTCCGAGTACGTAGACAGGTTCGTCTTCGATAATTCCAACCCGTTAGACGTCTTGGAAGCACTATGGAGCAGGCCCGAAGCGGCTGGAGAAGCAGCAGAGTCTTCTATTCTCGGGCCCAACCTGGTTCGCGAGCTCAATGCACATCGTAACAAATCGGCCGAGGCAGGCCCAAAGCATCTTCCGAGGATTGATCCTACATCGGTCGAGAGGACCCCGCTGGACCGGGCCTCGTCGGTTCGTTCCGAGAATACTGCTCTTGCTGAGAATCCCTTAGGTATTAATACAGCCTTGAGCCATACAGGCCTCGGTGGACTCGACCAGCCGAATATGCTCCTTCCTATAGATCACCTGTTTCATAATACCTTTCAAGGCACGAGCATCTGGCCCGAGGGGCCGGGTAACTTGGGTTCTGAATTCTAGCAGCTTTATATAGAAAAAACTATACACCAATTAAACTTAAAACAAGAGAAGTACTTTTTTCAAAGCTTGGTTAAAGATATATTATTATGGTTAGATAATACTAGTTAGGTACTTAAGAGATTCTAAATTCTTTAGATTTTTTAATTATTTTTTTTTTTCTTAAAACATTCAAATAATAGAGTTTTATAATAAGTAGGTAAGTAAGAGAGCTATATAATCACGACCTTGATATACATAACATGCTTTGCCGATAAGGTATTCTAAAACACTCTACGATTTATCCATCAGCAATTTTCTATAGCTATGCGTTACATTTACTGACCTGGACAAGAGTGTTCAAGAGTGTTTGGTGCGTCATTCGCAAACAAGAGCTCACCGGACCCCATACTACGTTCAATCAAATCTCGCCCGCGTTTAAACATATCCTTCTCGTACTCCTCAACGGCACTGTCTAAACTTGGGCCGGTACCATGTTCCTGGAGTTTCTCCGCCAGCACTAGGGCATCATTTATGGAACAGTTGATGCCGTCTCCCAACAAATGGCTTCGATAAGTGCGTAGCATCACCAATCAATGTGACTTTAAAGTCTTGCTTCCAAACAAGTGTTTCAGGGGGCAGATAAAGGATCGGCCATTTGCGAAAGCCATGTTTGCAGCTCACGATGATCTCATTAAACTCCGTAGGCCACTCGGCAAAGTAGTCATTACGGGAGAGGAAGAATTGGCGGGCTTGAGCTCCATCATCGACTGATAAGTCGAAGTTTGCGTTACCGTCGATGAAAAAGTCCTCGGCGTCCTCGGCGACCATGACACCTAAGTAAATTCTATACGGCCCATTGCTTATCTGCTGAACAGCAAGATTCTGGCTTGGCCTGAAAGCGATAAGACTGCCGCGACCAACGTTTGGTCTAGCTTGGGATATATAGGGTTGTTGGGAGAAATCTTTCGGACACTGATAGAAGTTTGATACGAACATAATTCGGGGGTCGTGCCAAGTTGCGTCCTATGAAAGTCCGACAGTCCGTCCGCCGAGTGGCATCTGCCAAGAACCGTCAAATTCCGAGCCAGCAGGCATTACATCAAGACCGCTGCTAATGGCACGGGTAATATATAAGCTTAACAGAAGGGTTCAGTTGGAAGCTAAACAAATCCAAAACCTTCCACCGGATCCCAGCGAATTTCATGATAGCGCCATGGAGTTCAATATCACTCTTCTGCATGCCCAGGCCATTAGGCTAGTTGTGTCCTTGTCAAGCCGATGGATATGGACAGTCATCCTACTACTTCTTGCTGTTTTCATTTTCCAGAATGTTCTCTTTTCCAAGACGCCCTCTGTCCCCGTTATATTCTCCGAGATCAAGGATGTCCGAGCACGTAAGCTGCGTTATTTGAACTCTCCTCGAGAAACGCTTAATGCCGGCTACAAAAAGTTCGGGGACGTCATTTGGGGCCTAGACACCTCTCAAGGAATCAAGCTCGTACTGGCAACAACCTATCTCGACGAACTCAAATCTCATCCTGCTCTTAGCTTCACAGCGTCCATCACCCATGATGGTATGAAATCGTACACCGGTATTGGGGGCCTTCCTGACGACGTCGTTCAGATTTTCAAGGCCAAGTTTAACCCATCAATTGCTGAATTTATTCCATACCTATATCATACTTTTGAGAGAGATATTACATCTGTGTTCCCTCTCAATCGGGAATGGACGGAAACGGATGTCTATAACAGGGTCAGTAAGCTCGTTTGCGTTGTCTCCACCAAGGCGTTCTACAGCGATGCTGCGAGCCGAGATGATGAGTGGTTGAGCCTGGCTCCGGAGTACATCGCCACAGTTTTGGACTACCTGCTTGCTTTGAAGCAATGGCCCGGAGCTCTTCGCCCTATCAGCCGATTTCTCATCCCTCAAAGAGCTGTCATTGTGAAACAATGGGAGAAAGCTCACGCCCATTTATCTGCCGCCCTTCGCGCGAAAAAAGCCGGCGTGCGAAACGATCCACCCTCATTATTCGACCATATCGTTGATACGAAGCCCAATGTTGCGGTGGACGAACTGATCCATACTCAAATGGCACTCGTCGTCGCCGGGATACACACTACTGCTGCTGGTCTCACGCAATTGCTCTTTGATATGGCGGCTCATCCAGAGGAGACCAAAATGCTCCGTGAGGAGGTTGACTGATATCCGGTACTCAGGCTACTGCAGTCTATCATGACGTATTACAACTAAGGCTATATCAAGCCTATACCAGTATACGAGGTGTTTGCCGCCTACGAGGTTCATTATGCATACCACTACATGCAGCAAGGAGTCTACATTCGCAAAATTGTTGTCTACTACGCAGCGATAACGGACAGTTGGCGTTACCCACAATCCGCGCAGCCCCTAGGAGAGAGTATGTCTTTGATCCTGAAGCCTCTTATTTACTGATTAGTGACCTCGGCCGCTCAGTTCCTGTTTGGATGGCCCAGCGCGGAGCACGCAACTTGGTCTTTCTATCGCTAAGCGCGGGTAAAACCACATAGGAGGTTGATATCATCACCATGCTCTAGAGGATAGGGTGTCGAGTCAAGGTCGTGGCCAGTAGTATGGCCTGCATGGCGGATGTTTGCCGTGCCATGCGTGAGGCTAGAACTCGGGTTAAGGGCATCATCCTTATAGCCATAGCACTTCATGACCAAGCATTCGCAAGCATAAGCCTTGATAACTGGAAGGGTGCCACCGAATCGATAATCGCGGGCTCGTGAAACCTCCACCAGGCTTCAATCGACCAAGGGGCTGACTTGGACTTCTTTGTCCTCTTCAGTTCGCTTTCGAGCGTTCTTGGGCAGCCTGGACAAGCTAACTATACAGCGGCAAACGCCTTTATTAATGCCTTTGCGCATTACTGGACATGATTAGGGCTACCATACTTATCCCTTGCTCTCGGTGCGATAAAAGGTGTGGGCTATCTACTACACAACGACAAATTGCTGAAAAAGATGAGGGGAACCGGATGGAATCCAGTCAGAGAGGAGGAGCTTTTAGAGGCACCAGAAGCCTCTATCTTTCAGTGCAAAAACCTGTCTCTACCGTCATCATCATCGTCACCTTGTCTCTTAGAGCCGCTGGTGAACCAAAGCAATATTCTGGTAGGTGTCTCGCCCTCGATCCCATTAAGCAGCTCCCAGAGCAGCGCTCGGTTACATAACGATGTCAGAATACTGGTATACCACAATGCGGGTTTGCTAGATGTCGGCAGCGGTTCTGGTACTATCAACGCACTGCAAGCCTTCCTCGATACAGCTAAGAGCAAACCCGAGACTTTCAAGAACCCTGAAACGGCCGCTTTCCTAGCGCAGGCGATTGGTAAGAAGCTCTTCATTGTGCTTCTGAAGTCGGACGAGGAGGTCAATATCGCTACTGCCTTGAGCGATTTGGGGCTCGACTCGTTAATCGCTGTTGAGATTCGCTCCTGGCGGAAACAGATGTTCAACGCCGATATTAGTCCAAATGCTCTCGCTAGGCATTTTGAGGGAACTGTGTAAGAAAGCTGCTGAGCAGCTGTCTGTTATTCACGGAGGGTAAGAGCGGATAATTAGCTTAGTTAGAGAGTAATAAACTAATAACAGTTTTTTTAAGGGTTTTTACTATATATAGGAGGTATTCTAAGATCAGACTATTGATAACTTCAGAACATAAGTATATATAAGCAGGGTAAGACTTCAAATAGAAATCTTAAAAACCTCTAAAGTGATCTGCAATATATTATGTCACGCGCTCGAGACCAAGTCTCCGCGGCTCGCCGCAGTAGGAATCTTGACGATCATGGCAGTATACGCGTAGCATATCCCGGGCGGCCCAGCCTCATTTCCGAAGTACTGTATTCAAGTAAACCGATTAGTGGTTTGTTTATGTCGTGCGGCTGATACTAACAGGAGGGGGGATAGGCACTCACATTTCCGTGTATCAAGGCCAGGTTTCGCCAGAGGGGCTCGGTGATCCACTCGACATCCTTCACCAGCTCGCCAAAGGCCTTTGGGATATTCGCTGCATCATCACCTTCATGGGTGATGAACTTAGTCAGTCCAACCATGCCAGGCTCGGTCTCGGTCCCTCCGCATGGCCAAAAGATCTTTTTAGAGTCTTCGTCGTCGCCATAGTCTTGGTTGGGCAGGTACTTTGAGGATATTATAATGGGCACCAGGTTGACCTCGAGACCCAGCTGTCGGAAGACGGCGTAGAGTGACATGTCGGTACCCTTGAGGGTCCTGAGCTTATCGCTCGCGAGTGGCTCGGGGGAGGGTGTGCGAGAGCGCCCGTAATTAGAACCGGGATCCTCCAGGTCCACCACCTTCGAGATGGTAGTTGGGTACGCGTGGGCGCAGTAAATGCCCAGAGTGTGGCCTGCGCTCAACATGGTCAGCAAAAGCTAGGGGCAAGTTATTATCGATTTGACCTACCGTCCTTCATCCACTCCGGGTTCTGGAGCAGGTCACGCATGGTCGCGTATGGCGCCAGCCTGGTGACGTCTACGGGCGCCGGTTTGCTGTCGAGCCCGGCCATCGGGTCGGCCGAGACGCGGCGTTCGTAGTATAGGTTGTAGGTGATGGTGACGCGGCGGCCGGCCGTCACCTCGTTTACCTCGTGCTCACAGTCGCTGTAGAAGGCGGCCCACTGCAGGACGTCACCGGCGGAAGCGGCCGCGTCCCAGTCGTGCGCGACCGGCTCCAGTCCACCGTGGCGAACCGTCAAGCGCCCACCCTCGTGCGCACTGGGCAGACATAGCACCAGCGAGCCGAACTGGGTCTCAGCCCGCGGCGTGTCGATGTGTTTCTTGAAGAAGCCCGAGGGTCCTTCGTAGATCTAGGCCGAAAAAACAACGTTAGCAATCACACACGGACAAGGTGGAGAGGGTTTTGGGGCGTAACTCACGTTCAGCTTGTACAGCTCGGCGCGCACGAAGCCATCGCTCGGCGAGCACATAGGCAGTACGCCCGCGACGTTGGGCAGCAGCAGCTGCGTAACGCGGTCGACAATGCCCAGCGCGTACGGGCACAGGTTGCTCGAGAAGCGCGCGCAGTCCATGGCGCCGGCCCGCCGCACGCTCTCGTCGAGCACGTTCTTGCCGCGGTGCCCGAAACCGGCGGGCAGGCA